ATGAGGAAGTATTTCATAGTAATGGCAGAAGATTGGCTCTATTTTCTCAGTTTGACATATAAAGCTCTTGAATAAAATTGGAACTGCCATTTTCACAGGCAGCCAACTTGCCCTTCCATTTAATTAAGCACTTGTAAATATTTGCGGTTTTTGTCCCAAGGTTTTATTTCTTGCTTTACTTCCTTGTGAAGTAGGTTACTATCATTATCCCCAATATGTGGGAAAACAAAGCATAGAGAGTAAAAATCATCCCAACAGAGATAGATTCTACATTTGGTGTTCAGTTCATATTTTCTTGGCCCATTATCTAATACATATACTTCACTCCCTACCTTAGTTTTCTGTGTTCACTGTGGAACATCTCATCTATCCACTCTTCTCTCCATTTCGATCATGTATTTTTAAACTGCCAGCCTCTACAACTTTATCACCTCTTGGGTTGGAATCCCCTTTTATCTAGAACTCCATCTGGCAAACACCTGTTCATTTTCAACCTTTTTAATCATTGCCTCTTCTGTGAAGCCTTTCTGCATTCTCTCATGCAGAAGAATAGTTACCAGACCAATGTAGAAGAAACAGTGTCTGTGCAAAATTCTATTTTAGTTTGAATCGCAATGCATGTGACATTTATTTACCTATCTGAGCCTCTTTGTCTTACTCACTTTGAATTTCCAATGCAGCCACCATTGTATACACCAGGTGTTTCATACATATTTGTAAACTTATTGTTAACTCCGCATAAAGCTGTATTGTTTTACAATGAATATTTTAAAAGATAAAAATAAATCATTTAAAGAATTATCTTCTAATTCTTTTTCAGAACCTGAACGATGTTGATTTCATTTTTGCACTGAGAAAATTAAGAGGCGCTCTAAAATAAAAGGAAAAGACTGATATCACAATGTGAGAATATTAAAATATTGAAAACAGTCTGCTTTTATTGATGACAGTGATTCTTTCTTGGACCCTTGATATCACATTGTATTAAATTTGAGCATCTTATTGGTTCCTCAGTTGAATTTTTGTTTAAATACATATGGTTTGTGATCATGCTCTATCCCAGACTTCCCATGGCTACTGCAAAGTTTTCATCTTATTTGAGACTATTTCAAGAGTTCTTCCTAAGAGCTATTGCTTTTCTTACAATAGTAAATAGTAGACCATCTTCCAAAATAGGCCCTGCACATATGACTGATAACTTTATAATTGACAGCAAGTAAAGATTTCTCCATTCCTACTACCTAAACTCTCTTATAAACACAGAAAGAGCATGTTTTATTTTCTGCAGTGTACCAAATGCATTTTAAAATTACCATTCCAAATCCTTGTACACTAGCTACGTGACTTGCTCCCCCATTTAATATTTCCTGAGTGACTGTACATGTAACCTTATTGGTTGGTCATGGTTTTGTCCCACCTGATGCCCACCTTGTAAATTTCCATTGGGCCTTATAGTTTTGTCCCGCTTTGTACCTGCCTCACCACATGGCTTTGCTGTATAAAACATCTTTGAACTGTGGGGTGGGTGGGCAACCCACCTTCTGGTCCCCCTTCTGTCTCTCTTAGGCAGAAGCTTTCTTTCTCTCAATAAATTTTTCCTACTCTTAAAAAAAAATTACCATTCTAAAAAATCTGTAATGGTATTTAAATGCCTAGTTTAGTGTATTTAGCCTAGGTTATTGTCATTTTTCTTCCATAAAGTATTTAAGTCTTGATCTCATAGAGTAAGCAATGCATAAGTGTTTTGTTTTTTTTATGGGTTTAACTGCTTGAAAAGTAAAAATACAAACCTGGACATGGTGGTGCATGCCTGTAGCTCTAGCACTCAGGAGGCTGAGACAGGAGAATCACCGTGAGTTCAAGGCCAGCCATGGCAACTAGGCAACTTAGCAAGACTCTGTCGAAAAAGAAAAAAGAAAAAAGAAAAAATATATATATATATATATATATATATATATATATATATCTCCATCCCCCAGAATGTAGCTTATTCTTAAGCCCTGTATTCAATCCCCAGTACTGCCAAAAAACCCAGAAATGTTAATTGTTAGATACTACATTTGTAAAATGAAGAAAATCAGATGACTGCTTGTGACATCTCACAAGTACTAACTTCAGTGTTTGCCTTTTAGACTTTTTCAAAAGTATATAACATGTAGGTATTGGTCTAGAGCAAATATATCCAGTAATTTATTACTTTAAATTTAAGAAATTATGCTTCCATGGAGCAGAACCAAGTGAAATTGGAGACAGACATGTCAGCTTCAGGACAGTTAAACAGTCCAGTATCATCATTGTTTATTTCTTCATCTTAAAATGGCATTTTCATTGGATCTTGGTCATTGAAACCTTGAAACCATTTTTAAGAATAATACTAAAGAAAAGTTAATTAAAAGGGTAAATTGTACATTGCAAAAATTAAATTTCTTTCTACAAGGTAAAATTGTGTCCAACATCGTGAGATGGTACAAACTGTGAACAGTTAAGCGTTTATTGAATGCCTAAGTAGTTTTAGTCCAAATGTGCATCCGTATTTTACCATCTGTAGAAATGAAAGATGTAAACACAACCCAGTATTTCTAATATGGTAGTATTTGAGATGTTTGTAAACATCACAGAAACAGATAGAAGAGCCAGAATTCATGTTCAGAAATGTGTGAGTTATGCACATGGATTCCAGATTTATTGCTCTAGAGCAGAGGCCAGTGAAGAACAAGTTTCTCAAAAAATGTTGCCTGAAATGAGGTGCACTTGTGTTCTGTATGGTGCACTCTCTAGGACCCTGTGTGGAAATAACAAATAATCTCTCAAGTAGTTTATTATTTATCTGGTCTTCTTATAGTGCCTAACATGTGTGTGCATATGCACATATATAAAATAAAGCTTGACAGAATAAGTATTGAGTCCTTATTTAAATAAGGATTTATAAATAGTTGTCTATTTCATATATACATATCATGCATATTTAATAAATACAAGAAGTTTTGCAAAATATTGTCAGTGGCGTATTTCCCCCAATTACCCACTTTCACATTCCAGAGAACCACAATTAATTAATTTGGGAAATTAATGAATCTCCTCAAAAAGTCATATCTGACCTACATGGATAGCAACATAGAGGGTTGGAATTTCCTACACTACCTCAAACTCCACCCACATCCACAATATCCACATGAAGAGACTTAAAATTGGCACCATGCTCTAGCTCTAGCTACGTCCCATGGCTCCACTGCACTGCGGGGTTTGACTCCCAGAGCCACAGATTGCTCCCACCCTGGGAGCTCTAGTCAGCCAGCCAAGATGCTACCTAAATCAGAGTAACAAGCTGGAGTCATTTCCCAGGATTCTTTGGCCATACTACTTTTGTTAGAGGTTTGATCTTTTCTCTCCTTGAGTCTACACCAATAAACCTGCCATTGTCCCTAGGGGAGAACTTACATTATATCACTGTTGAACTGTAGTTTTACTGTGAGGTGTCCGTTTTCTGACTAAAGAATCCTTTCCATTTTCTGTCAACGCCCCTCTTCTCCAGTCAGTCCTTCTTCTGGAGTAAATCTGCCCATGCTGTCTCACTTTCTGTAGATTGGCCTGCTTACCAAGCTTCCCTTAAATTCTTTTTTCCCCTACTTTCTCACTCTTGCACCCGAGAATAAAAGAGACATTGAGTTAACGGGACATTGTCTCAGTTTCTCTTCACTTTCTAGATTAAGAATAACTACTTGTTGGACGCTTCTCCCCCTCAATGCATTCTTTCTACCAGAACCACATTAGTGACACTTTTGTGCATTCCCACAAGTCCTCAGTCCTATCAGAGAGCCTGAAGTGCTCAATTGTTTTAATGAGTAAGTACTTAAAAATGAAAGGTCGTTTGGCAGAATAGATTTCAGACAGCAACTGTATTTCATATTTAGCATTCAGTTTTTGAGCCAACCTACCAGACCATTCTGCACTTCACTTTGCTTATATGTAAAATGGGAATAATAACGTAATGCTAAGAGAATGTGCCTAACACCTAACAGGCACTAAAATATAACAGTTTCCGTTGCCTCTTACAGAATAAATAAATAAACAAAAGAGATGTGATCTGACCTTCTTTTACTCTCTGATAGGCTTTTGTGAAACTCCCAGGCTTCGGGACAGAAGTATCAGTATGCTGATTTCAGGGGCTCCAATTTTCCCAGGCTGCATGGTCAGCTTGCCCACCTGCCTTCTATCTGCTCATAACTTCTCCCTTATCTCTAGTATGGAGGTTTGTGTACCTTGAATCTTTGCATTCTATCCCAAGCCACTGATCAGCTGCACAATTCGTATTATTGTTGTGGGTTACTAAAATGGATAGTATTTCCTATACTTCTATCAAATTCCCACCCTTATGTCTCAGAAACACGGAGATTTCTCTCACTCGATGCTCCTCTGTGTCAGACCCTCAGAGTTGCTACCCTGTGTCTCTCTCCAGCCAGTGGAGATTAACCAACTAGAGTGAAAGGGCAAAGACAAAGACAAATATAAATCCAGTAGCTCATACTTTAGTGGTTGAAGGAATGATGGTATTGATGACAGCAGACCAGTCCTGCAGGGAACGATGATATAAATTTAGCAAAATCTGGATTAGATTCTGATTCATTTTATCTTCTTAGAAAAGAAAAAAGTAAATGAAAAGCAGACTGGACAGAACTAACCAAAAGTCAAAATGACTTTAGATTTAAAGGGTAACACAGTATTTATAAAATATTAAAGCATATAATCATATAGTATGTCAGATTTGAAGCAATTCAAGTAATGTCAGCATGAAGTCATAATGGATAACAATATTCATTCTGATTCAGTTATTTTATTTAAAAATTTTTCTCCTTCTTCTGGTTGAAATGGGCTAACCCATTATTTAAAAGTGATATTTCTCTTCCTGTATTTTAAACATTCTCCCCTAGCTGACAAAAAAAAATCTCCTGTGAAATGTTTCCTCTTCTCTTAACAAAATTAAGTGTTCTGCTATGTTACAGCCTCACGGTTAGGAATGAAGAAAGAGGGGAAAGTGCAGGAAGACCCATCCATACCACAAAGATGGAGAGTATCCAGGTCCTAGAGGAGAGGTGAGTGTGACACCCATGATGTAACTGTCTCTTGTATTTCTATGCTACTCACAGCTACGAAGAGTAAGTGTTCTCTCTGTTTATGGTATTCCTTAAAATATTCTGAAATCGGCACTGACCCAGCCTGGGGGACCTTCTTTTGTGATTGCAGTGGATTTCTACCAATTTTTCTATTAGCTATGTTTATCATTGCCTGAGATTATCTTTCTTTTGTAAGAAATAAAAAAATTACTGCACTAATTAGTCCTCCCAAAATTGCTTTATTTTTCACTTCTCTTTTCTGAGAATATGTTTTAAATTGTCTTCATAAAAGATTTTACTCTAACCATCCAGTTCTTTGATGTATTAGCAAGTGGAACACTGAAACATTAGCAAGTGGTTTCTGCAGTGAAGTAGTCACTGAAAATCTTAACATGGTTATCAAAAAATTCCCAGTGCCACTCTAAAAGCCTTCTGTTTTGCAGTAACATTTTAGGAAACAAGCACACATATATATTCTTACTTTAGATCCCGCTACTAATGGAAAATGCCTTCTAATGTGAAAAATAAACTGTTTGTTATGACTGGAAAATGAAAATCTGTATCAGGAGGCAAAGAAAAAAATTTAGTTTGTCCTTCAAGGTAACCTACAGTGTTTTTATCAACTTGCAGTGTATTGTTAGAGTTTAGACATGTCCAAGCTTCATTAGGAATTTGTGATGCCCATGTGATGTGGTGTATAGCTCCTAATATTTCGACCTTTGGCTCATTTTCATGTGTATCGTCCCTACCTTAATGTTTTTCAAGACCCAGAAATAACTGATCCGTCCTGGCAGGTATTTGTCAGATCAGACCGGCCTGACTGGCCACTTATGAGCCACTAGATGGCAGCATCCGAATAGACTTTTTACCTGCTCTGCCCCAGACCCAGACCAGCTTTCACAGGTCAGAACTGCTTTTGATAACGACCCTATTCCTTCTCAGCAGCCAAAGCCCCACTGCAGATGAAGTCCTATCCTGGTCTCAGAATTTCGACAAAATGATGAAGGCCCCTGCAGGAAGAAACCTTTTCCGGGAATTCCTCCGAACAGAGTACAGTGAAGAGAATCTGCTTTTCTGGCTTGCCTGTGAAGATTTAAAGAAAGAGCAGAACAAAAAAGTCATTGAAGAAAAAGCCAGAATGATATATGAAGATTACATTTCTATTCTATCACCAAAAGAGGTAAAACTCGGGAAAACACTGAGGTGGGCTTGCTAAGACCAGGCGTAACCCTAAAAGGCCTGCTGTCCCAACTGGGTAGCGCCTGGGCTGTGGTCGGAAGACTTCTGGGGAGGTTGTTGACCTTCCATCCTGACAATCTCCCTGAACACGTTTGAAGGTTAGTTGCCCCATGATGCTTTGACTGTTGGTCCCTGGCTGACTCTTGTGCAGCAGTTCACTCGCTTTTCAGATTTAACACGTTGGAGCCTGTTTAAGCGATTTTCTGTGACTTAAACTAAAATGGAATTGAGGAATTTAGGAAGATCCCTCTCAAAGCTTGATACCCAGATCACTTGTGTGAGAATCACCCTAGGTGTTTGTCTAAAAAGAAATTCTTGACACCTATCCAGGACTTTAACTCTGAATTTTTAAAAGAGAACCCAAGAATCTGCACTTTTGTTCCCAGTACTGGGAATTGAACTCAGGACCTTGCACTTGCCAGGCAGGCGCTGTGCCACTGAGCTAAAATCCCAGCCCAAGAATCTGCACTTTTAACAAGATTTCCACACACTAAAAAAGCAAACAAAACTACTGTGCATGTTTAAATTAAAATGTTAATACTTTTTTTTTTCTCCTGGTATCAACCTTGTGCTTGCCAGGAAGGCACGGTGCCACTGAGCTACATCCTCAGCCTCAATTTATTATAGCAAAAGACTCATCGGCATTAATCCCCTCAAAATACTCTCCCTCACTTCCAAACACGTACTGTACCCCATCACTCTTGCCACTTTCTGAAGCAGTTCTGGAAGTCCTTTTTTGTGTCTTTAGTTGTGCTGTCATGGCTGCCTCGATGTCCTGAGTTGAATCAAAATGTTTACCTTTACTGGTAAGCTTGACTTTGAAGAAAAGCCAGAAGTTGCACAGTGCCAGATTTGCTGAATAAGGTGAATAAGGACCCATGACAATGTTTTTATGAGCCTTCTTTTCTGTTAGATGGCACTCTGCAACAGCATTCACCGTATTTTTTTTATTATACCTTGTACACAGACTCATAAAAAAGACTTTCAGAACCCCATCAGAAGCTACCAAGAATGATGAGATAAATATGTTTGAAGTGAGGGGGGAGTATTTTGATGTGGACTAATACGTTCACAATGGGGCCATAATTCCTATGTCTCACTAACAGGCATGGCTGTACCACATGTACAACCAGTAGGATAAGAGGCTCAATGGGACGGTCATGGAGATGATCTTACTTATTCTAGGCTTTCTGTTATTGAAAGTGCAAGCTTGTCTTCCCATTACCAGAATGCACCTGATCAATAATGAACATTTCTAGCAACCAGATAGCACATTTCTATTCCATTAACTCTTTAAAAACCATTTCCTAAGAAAGGCGTGGGCTAATAAAGATAAAGGTATTTGGTGAGAGAGGGGTTAACAGTCATACCAAGTAAGCCCTCAGAGAACAAAGTGGCTTTTAGAATGCCTTTTCTTTTCCACATTACCACACTCCATTTGCCTTTTTTGTTTCTCTTACACTACTGGGATGTTTCCTCATGTATTTACATGTGCTGACCTGGTGCTTTCTCCTCCCAGAGTTTGGCCTCCACATCCCTTTGATGCCCATGGACAGGACTGAAGTTCCCTAGAACTGGGCTGTGGCTCATCAGTCTTTTGTCCCATACTTGATGCACCCTATCCTAACTTGCATGCCTTCCTTTGTGATCTGTAAAATGAATTTGCATCCACTTTATCAGATATCTAAGTTGAGAATACAGTATAAACTCTTTCACTTCTCATGACATTTAGAAGGGGACATTTTTATTAGGTTAACATGTCACTGATATTCCGAAATACTCCAGCAGCACTGTCTCTACAGAATGAGAGACCAGATGCACAAAGGATTCTTTTTTTATTTACTTCACTAATATAGAAAAAGTATTCATAGACACAAAGTAAGGAGAAGTTTCCCATAGCCTCAATACATTTATTACTGACAGCACTTTGTATTTCTAACACTAGTATAATTATGCATCCTAAAAGTACAATCTTTAGGTATCTAATTTACCTAGAACATTACCATCCAACCAACTCTACTTGAATGTTATTAGTATCATCATTTTATTCTTATTTTTAACTTTAAAGTTTCACTATATGGCAAATAAACCACAAGGTCCCAGTATTCAACTAGAACATGCTTCTCAAATTATAGTCCTCGGGAAGATTATCTAGCCCACATCTCTCCCTAAACATGTAAGACTTGTCATCTGACAGTGATAGTTATCTGGATTGCCTAGGCCAGTCTTTGGTACTACATATATTTCATTTTAAAATGATGATGGTTCCATGTTCTAAATACTAGAGAAGAGTATTCTCCATATTAAGCATAGATAGTTTCTTGGTCTCCCTTTTTAAATCTTTTGTTTTTATGTGAAACACTGCCCTATTGGCCCCACAGATGTCACCGATCCATGGAACTTTGCAAAATACTCGATTTTCACATAAACTTGGATTTTCACTCTTTGTGCAATACTGGTGGAGTTTTGTATTAGCCTAATTTCTTTATTTTCAGCATGAATTTCACTTAAAAAGTCTTTAAAATATTATTTGCTAATCAAGAACATGACCTGCTTGAAATTACAGATTAATATTTCACGTAATAAGAATATTTATTCTTTTCTTTATTTTTCTTAATATTTACATTTTGGGTATTATCTACTCTATAATATTCTAAAAATGCCAGAGAGAGTGGGGATTCACATTTTTATCATTTTGCTATTGTGTACTATTTCATAAATAAATTATAATTAACTCAACATACAATCTACATTATTCACCCGGGCATGGTGGCACATGTTGGTAATCCCAGCACTTGGGAGGCTGAGGCAGGAAGATGACTGTGAGTTGGAGGCCAGCCTGGGCTACATAGTGAGTTCAAGGCTAGCCTGAACTGCATAAGGAGACCCTGTTTCCTGTATGAGGTGCCTTTGTTCACCTGGCTGATTTCATGCCTGTCAACCTATAATTAAATTTGATCATTATTTACTAGCAAAAAAAAAACCCTAAAGTAAATATTTACAATTATACAACTTAACTGTTGAAAAGCTGTATGAGTGTTTTAGCCAATATATATATACTCTTGAACCATGAACCATGCTCAGTGACTTGATTCACAATTTATCATGTGGTTTCTAGTGATCCTGGAGCCCTTGACAATCTCAAGGACAACCCTGTTTCAAAACATGCCACTTTCTAATCAGCCACCATATGTCAATCATCAACTGATGACACTGAGTTACTCTTTGAGTTTTGTTTTCTAGCATTGGCAAGAACAGGTGTCACATCAAGAATACAGGTCACATTATATGGTAGTTAGAGCACTGGACTAATACTAAAGTGCATACAATTCTAGTCCTGGCTCTGCTACCACTGAATTCTGTTACTTGGGATAAATCACTTTACCTTTCTGGGCCTCAGTATTCATTTGATTTGTTTACAAAAATAACAATAAAAACAGGCCCAGAGACAAGAAAGGCAAATCCAGAATGACATCTCTAAGACTGTTTGTACAACTACATCACCTTCCCCACCAAGGATAGCCAGTCACTCGGGGTCCTCACAGTGTTCAGGACAGCCACCTGGGACCAGGCACAGTTGCCTTCTCATCATGGGGCTGCACAATGTGGTCTCTACGTGGAGATTCTGTGATAATTTCTACTTAGAATATTTTTGGGGGAATACCGGGGATCGAACTCGGGTCCTTGGGCTTGCAAGGCAGGCAGCAGAGCCACTGAGCTAAATCCCCAGCCCTACTTAGAATATTTTTAAAAACATGAACACTTGAATCATTTATAAAATGGTAATGACTAAATAAATAAGAATTGAGATTTTATTATTGACAAGAACAGCCTTTTTCATCACTGAACTTTATTTTACCTTAATTTGATTGAGTTATTATGCTCCATATTGTTAAATCTACATTCAGAAAGTCATTTTTTAAATTACTTACATACAACTATTTTCTTTAATGACACTCTTGATGCCATGTACTGAAAAATTCCATTTCATTTTTTGAAGATTTTGTTTATGCATTTTTAATTATGTGAGAATTATTAAAAAATAAGAGATGTTTGAAGCCAATGGGCAGTATAACTTCTAATTTTGCTATAGTATACATTTTAAGAAAGCATCAGATTTTATATTGTTAAAAAATGAAAAAAGCAGACATTGATAAAGTAAATTTGCTTTTTTATGATGGCCTCAAGAGGAAAAAGAATGAAGATAAAAAGAAGCATTTAAGACTGGTGACCTTGCTGCACACAGCAAATTTGGTTGGCACACTACAAAGTATTGAAAAGACAAACAGCAAAATTAAAAACTGGAATAAAAAGTCTATTTAAATACTACTACCCTAAAACTGGAAACACCTTGAGACCATAACATTAATCAGACACACAAGCTTAAATATTGCATAACTTCTCTTATATGAGAAACCCAAAGTATAAATAATTTTTAAAATTGAAAGATAGAAAATAGGAAACGGGGAGCTAGATCTTTTTGCAAAGGGGAAAGGGATCCAGAATCAGAAGGAGGAGGGAAGTAGAGGAGGGGAAGAAAAAGAAAAAGAATTAAGATATGTGAAGTACATGTACCTACCCCCTAACATGAATGTAAACATTATGTACTGAAAATATGTAGTATTGAAAACAAAAGAGAGAAAGACTGTTATCAACTATAAACATTGGACAATTAAAGAACGAAAGAAATGTAAAACCCTAACTAAGTATAGTTCTTTTATCTGAATTGAAAACCACATGGTGTATTATCCACCAATCTCCTTTGTGATAGCAGTGTCATTAGCCAGAGCCTTAGTGTGGCCCTGCCACTCACCATCCCCGTGACATGTAGAGAACCATTTCTCTGCTCTGGAGTCTGAGCTTCCTGGGTTGAGTTTGGAGAAAACTCTAAACTCTACTAAATCTCTGATATTTAAACTCTGCCACATGGTGATTTTAATAGTTGTAGGGATTGTTTGCTTCTGATTTCATCTAAAATTCCAGAGAAAAAATAAAGCTATTTGTATTCCAGAATCATCTAATACTAATGCTTAGTTGATACCCATGTGGATTCGGTGTGTATGTGTATTTGCCTTTAGCAAAATAATGTGAATTTAGCATTTCTAATGATCTGAGTCATGTATTCTAAACAAAACTCACTTGACTGTATTTTCCCATATTTATTTCTTTATATGTGCATGCATATTAGCATTCAAAAGTATTTATCGAGTATTTCCTAGGAATCAGGTGCTGGACTACATATTGGGGATATGGTGGGGAATAAGACAGACACTGGCCTACCTTTGTGGAGATGACATTTTAGAAGACAGACAAAGCATGCTGAAATCAAATAACTACAAGCTGTGATAAACAATACAATGTCTTGACTAATATAGTTTAAAATAGGAGTTGTCAACAAAAGTCACTCTGAGAAGATAAATTTCAAGTTGATAAGAGACCCAAAGACATTGAGTGTCATCATATCATCATTTATTATCATCATCAATTATTATCATTACTATTATCACTTTACAATGGGTTTCAACTTAATTGTGGTCTTTCATCTTTTGTTACAATCTGAGTCTCACAACAATCTTTCAGCTATAAGGACAAATGGTGACACTTCACAGCAAAACATAAATCAAAACAAAATTTTCCTCAAACAGGTAAAATTAATATTTTAACATATGAGAAAGGAGAATTACATCTGACTGAGATAGAACACAAGTCTAGGATCTTCTGATTCCAATTTGGTGCTCTTCCAACTACAGCATGCTGAATGAATATATATATTCTATTGTCCAGTGTTTTCTTCATGACATTACTGTAGATTTCTGTAAAAACCACCTTAAAACTTCAGACAAAATTAGAAATAGTAATCTTAATCACATTCTGAGCCCCCCTGGGACAAGCAGGATATAATAATATGGTTACTACATTTTATCCTACCAATAATTTTTGCTCCAAGAGGTAAATTCAAATAATTGGTCTTATTTGTAATTTATAATTATTTTCAGTAGAAATACAACCACAAATTAATACATGACTAAATTTGAAATGACTAAAATAAATAAGCACATTTACAGTATTTATTTACTGAGTGGTACTGGGGTTTAAACCCAGGAGTTTCACACTAAGCTAATTCCCCTCCCTTTTTATTTTTTACTTTGAGATAATGTCTAACTAAGTTGCTAAGTTCTTTAGGCTGGGCTCCAACTTGCCATCCTCCTGCCTTAGTCTCCCAGAGTGCTGGGATGGTAGGCATGCACCACCATACTGGTTTAAAATTTACTAAAATTAACAGAAGAATCAAATATCCTAGATCTATAAAATATATAACTGGTAAACTTTTGATATGGATTTCTAAAGAAAAAAGTATCAAAATTTTACTTAGAGAAGAATCCTGAGTAAAACAATTTCAGTAAAATTAAACATCAGATAAAAATTGGGAAAGAATAATCATGATTTGTTAAAAAAATTGTTTAGGAAATTAATATAATATCTTCTATGGGAGAAAAAACTTCCTGTCAAATGTATTACTCTTCAGTATAATACTGCCAGCAGTATCTGCAGAGCCCCACTGTGTCTTGATAGGACAAAAAGGCAAGGTCAAAACTGTTTTACTCCCTTCAACAATATTCATGTAGCTTAATATTCCCCTCCCTGGGCTGGGGAATCTCATGATGAACCTCGTGTATGACTGGCTCCTCTGGGTCCTCCCGAGCCACACCAACAAGATTTTTGCCTTCATCTCCCCACTCTACCTCCACACTCTTACTGAGCTTAAATTCTCATTGCATTTTCCTCCCCAGTAGTTTGGGGAATTGCTTGGGGTCATTTTATTATGTTTGCAAGCCACTTTCTTTTCTTCTTTCCTGTCTTCTCCCTGTGGGAATGAGTGCTTCCACTAGGCCTATCACAAAGTCACTTTTGTCTTTTAAGCTTCAGTTGACAGCTTTCCACACTGACAGGGTTTTCAGCACTGCTAAAACTGCCAGCTAAATGCTGCCAGTTCAGTGCAGCTCAATCTATCAGAGCTGTCTTACGCTTCTATCTAAACAGTGTTATTGCTGTGATGTACTCCCGCCTCCACCATCTAGGTATAAAGCTGTGGAGGCCGGGAGGAGACTCTCTGTAGCCTAAGACTAGCTCTTGTCTTTTATTACTCAACTTTCTCTTCCCTTAGGATGAGTTTTTTCCAGGAAACTCCTTAGTCCCTCATGCAGTGGACCCCAGATAAGATGGCTTTATAAGCCATCTGCACATTTCTGAGTCCCAGGATGACTGTGGCTCAGGTCCAAGCTGGGCTCCACCAAACCACCTTGTCTTATAGACGCTCCTCACTCTGAAGCACAAGATGCCACAAGATGAAACTGTAGATTGTTAACCCATGGGGTTTGTCCTTGATACTTGGCCTCTCTACACTTCTTTTGATTGACCAACAACCTTTTCAAATAAACAACCAAACATTAAGGTAAATATTTTATTTTTTCAAGTGGAAATAACAAATGCATTTTTGTTATGGATTACTAAATGTTGAACTGTATTCTTTATGATATTTTACTACTGTTTTTCATTTGAAAAGAAATTTGGCAGTTAAACAGGACTTAAGACATGTGACCATTCAAGTTATTTTATTTTTGACTTAATATAATTAATATGATTTCACCTACTGATAAGAATCTTATACTGTCTATGCCGGGCATGGTGGCACACACCTGTAATCCTAGCGCTCAGGAGGCAGAAGCAGGAGGATCGCCATGTGCTCGAGGCCAGCCTGGGCTACATAGTGAGTTCAAGGCCAGCCTGAACTACATAGTGAGACCCTGTCTCAAAAGAAAAAAGAAAAGAAAGAAAGAAACTTATACTGATTATGCTGTTTTTTAAGAAGTGACCCTCTTTTCTTGATTGCTAATCTGAATTTTCCTTCTCCACTGAAAGAAAATGTTCTCTCAAGTTTAACAGTAACCACACCATGTTTAGAAACAGAAAAGTGTTTTGTAGTACTTCACCCTACATTAACACCACATTTCAGAATAAGAAGAATCAATTTAAGCTCCAATGTCAATTTTTTTCCTGTTGAGTAAAAACACAAAAGATATTTTTAGGTAAGATAAAGAGCTTAGGGAAAATTCTTTATGTTTTTATTACCTTGTAGTTGATAATGACTTCATATGGCACAAAAGTAAAAGTTAAACAATCATTTATTTACAGAACATCTTTTTTTTAAAGAATCCCCAACAAAGAAAATATAGTTCAGCTAAGAGTTGTTTAAATTTTCTATACATACATTAGTTTAACTAAACTGTAGAAGTTTAGTCTGGATCACCATTTCCTGACAAATCTGGCAGCCATTCCTGAAGTGTATCGGTCAGTCCAGTTCCACATGGTCAGTAGAGCTCAGGAAGCTCAGGACACTTGATGGAATATTGATGGATTCATTCAGGCTGTTTTCAGAGCTTAGATCATCCAAATCATGGATTGGAAAAAGAGCCAGAACCAAAAAGACTTTGCAAAATGCTTATGATGAAAGGTTTAAATATATGAGGTGTATATGGAACAATTAATTATGAAACATAATGTCCTGCACCTTGCTCAATAGTGAGAGTTGAAACCAATGAGGATTCTGAGTGATTACCTCTTGAAAGGATTTTAACATGGCATTTCAGGGCAAAACTTAGTTCTGCTTCCCCAAGTATAATCTTACTACGTTTTTTTCCCCCTTTTCCCTTTACATTAAGCCCTTACCTGTTCTAAATGAATTAGGTTTTCCTGGGAGAGCAAAAACCAAATCACTACAGAATTTAATTCTTATTACACTTTTCAAATTCCACTGTATTCATTATTCTGATGAATACTTTAAATTCCTATTTGTATTTCTCCTCTCAAACTTTGTGTTTTAAACAACTGTTCTGCTTCGTGTCTAGTCAGAGATCTCCGGACATCTTCCAGTGTAGGATTTTCCTAGGTCTTGCTGTTGATGTAGCATCTTGAGAATGCCTGGTGCATTTCTCCTTCACTCTGCCCTTCCACATTCCTGGTTTCCTACTTTTGATGCAGTAGGGCCTATTGAGATTTTAAAATGTCCAAAATCAACACCTGAGATGCGTGTTAATTTTTATGAGAGAACTCTTCTCTCTCAAATTCGTGCCCAGTGATCCAGAGAGTTTGCCCACCAGTTGCAGAAAAGGAGTCAGTGAGTTCATATTCTGGTTATTTTGTGGTACCTCGACAGTGAATGAAATTGTCAAAAGCTTATGCATGAATGCTAGAGAAGATAAATCCAAATAGGTCAAGATACCTATGAACCAAATTTCTGGCATCACGTCTAGTTTTGTTCAGTTTAATTGGATGTTTAAAGGGAGAAAATTATAAAAGATATGTAGCCTTTGAAAAAACAACCCCAGGCAAGACGTAGTGTTGCACCCCTGTAATCCCAGCACTCAGGATGCTAAAGCAGGAGGATTGCCACAAATTTGAGGCCAGCCTGGGTTATATAGTGAGACCAAAAACAACGAAGAAAGAAGGAGGGAGGGAGGAAGAGAGGGAGGGAGGGAGAGAAGGAGAAAAGCAGAAGAAAGAAAGAAAAGAGAGAGGAAGAAAGAGGAAGAAAAGGAAAGAGGGAAGGGGAGGGGAGGGGAAAGACAACCTTAAAATTGTGGCAGTTGGATTTACTCTGAAGTTTCTCTGAAATATCTCAAATCTACAGTTATTTAATTGAGGTATTTTGAAAAAATATTAATGTGTCTACTTTTATTTCTTTTTAGGTCAGTCTCGATTCTCGAGTTAGAGAGGTGATCAATAGAAATCTGTTGGATCCTAACCCTCACATGTATGAAGATGCCCAACTTCAGATATATACCTTAATGCACAGAGATTCTTTTCCAAGGTTTTTGAACTCTCAGATTTATAAGTCATTTGTTGAAAGTACTGCCGGCTCTTCTTCTGAATCGTAATTTTCATTTAAAAAATCATTTCGGAGGGCTGGGATGGGAAACAGAAATAATTAAATAACATCAAAAATTGAGTTCCTGGAGGACTACAGTTTTAGCATTCCTCAGGCTACTGTGAAAATATTACCATTATGGTCTTTGTCTCCATTTTTATCAAGGTTATTCATGATTGAGTTTGGAGAAAATACCACATTAAACAAAGAATTGCCAAATTAAGTTTGTTTTATTCAACACTCATGCTACTTGCAAACAAACTGTGTTTGCAGGGCTACGAACAGTCTCCTAGTGTATCTCCAGAGACTGCATGTGCGAAGTAAAACTGCTTCATTTGCCACATAGTTGTTGTACTAGTTAATCAAATAGCATAACATATCTGCATTGAAGAACTTTTGTGCAATATAGTCTTACTAAATAATTGCCAAATATTGGCTGTGGTTTGCACTTTTTTAAACATCTGAAACAGAAAAAGACAATTTTTAAAATGTAACCATAGTATTCAACATGCTATATACTGTGTTTAGTACACTAATTTTGAAGCCAATATTTCTGTGTATGAAAAAAGAGCTATTTATGTGTTTGTTGGAAGATTCCGAGGAAAGTCTCCTCTGGGTGTTCACTGCCAATACGGTGGCATTTTCATTACAGAAGACTTTGCTATGTTAAAAAAAAAAAAGACAAAGAAAAGAAACAAAAGCACAAAGCAATTTGAAGATATCCTAGCTCAATGACAAATCAGTGATGTTTTTAATTGTAATAGAAAATTAATCTATGTATATATCAGATGTCCCATACTGTAATTAATTTATTAAAAACTGGCTCTCCAGTTCTAAAATGGTTGTGTAAAGTTATGTACTTCAGCAAGAAAAAATAAGCTTGATAACTTAGTTTTGGCATATAAAGAAAAGGATTTAATAAAGGAATGCCTATATGTAGCACTGTAAAACATTTTGATGAATAGGGTCTGTCCTGTGCTTGAAAGTAAAATCCAGTGAAAAGCTAAGTTTTTACTATGAAAAGTTTTATAAGAAGATAATTGTGAAGAAGATAATTCTCTACTTCAGACCTTAACTGTTTTCACATAGTATCTTTAAAATGACTTATTTTAAAAATGTTCAAACCAAACTATTCATTCTCATCCATAATTAAAAGGCAGTACAGTGCTCAAATCTTTTAGCTGCCATATTATTTTTATAATTGCACTAACTCTTTAAAAATAATACTTGCCTGACATTGGCTTGTACTTCTGACATTCAAGAAAACAATGTCCTATTGTGCACAAAACAATAATAATAATAATCATAATCAGTGTCATATTTATACCAAGGTATAACATTTGAATATTAATATCCCCTGAATACTATTTTTTTAATCTTAAAGTAAATGAATATAATACTGAGTAAACTAAAAGTTTTAAAAAGATTTATATCCATGGAGAACACTGGCCTTATATTAAGGATGATATTAAAATTATAAGTTTTCTTTTGTCATTTTTAACTACCTCTCATTTTTTAATTTATTAAACATATTTTTAAAAATCAAGTTTGGGGTTTTCTTTTTAAATTTACTTTACTTGAAAGGTTGGCATAATAAGTTTCTTTTTCCATAAACTTTAAACATTTCAAGAATTTTTTAAGTGGCTATGATTTTATAATTTATATAGAATTCAGGAGACATGAATAAAAGGGCTATTATCTATTCCCTATGCAAATATTTTAACTGTTGCAGTGTTTGACAAAATGGGATTTAAAAAAATTTGCAGAATAGAAAACAAACTTCTGTTTACACTGGCATTGCTGACTATCCTACCATATTCAGCACTTTTAAATACATTATTTATGAAAATATAGTTAAAATGCAAGATAGAAAATATTTATAATAATCATCTTAGCAAATACTTGTTTTTTGAAAGTATTAGTGTGTTGACATTTTTATCTATGTCACTTCGATATTTACTATTTGAATAATAGTTTTCAGTAATATGTTGAAAAAGACAGCTATGAAGATGTTTACAAAATGTCATATTTTTCCTAAAGAGTAAAGTAAAACATGAAAGCATCATCACTTCTATTGTGAAGTTCTACTGTTGCTAAATCATTTTTTCTTGATTAGAATTGTTTATTGTGTTACTATGATGTATACACATATATGGTATAGAATCATTCTATGTTTGAGGCACAACAAATTGGTGCACATGCCTAGAAGATATGTAATATATTATGACATTCCGCATGTATCAATCTTTTTAAATGTAGACTTTATATTCTTGTTGTTACTATATATGATGGTGAGCTGCTAGTCGTAAGTTATCTTTATAAGATACTTTGGACTATTAGAGGAATTGTCTGTTTGACAATACTTTTAATATTTTACCAAATGTAAAAGATAAGGGCCCTTTTAAAGTGTCCTAATCTCTAACCTGGGCATTTGTACAGTACAGATTTAGAAGGTGGTATGTCCATTTGAAACCTGATTAGGAAGCTGTATTGAGAAGAATTCTAGAGCAGGTTACACAATAGATGTTGGTAATCATGCTAGATGAGCATTTCTGTGCTACATTCATTTTTGGGGGGGGGATGAGAGTTTCTCATTTAATGTCAAAATGTTTAAAGTTTCTAAGAGTATGTCTGTGTGTTTGCAACTTTATCAATTTTTAAAATATGGTATAATTTCTGTTTTAGTCACAGAGCTGTAATAAACAAAAAAGCCCTCAACTGGTGTCTATGTTACCATTCCAAGAGCACAATATATGCTTTATTAGAGTTTGATATTTTCCTAGTGAGTAAATTCTTCCCTGGGGAAAATTTAGCCCTTTAAAAGAAGCACTTTTTGTTTTATGTTGCCAGGATATCTTTGTATAGAATCTGCTAATGCACACAGAGGTTAATGTGCTTTCTATATTACTTAATTTCAAATGTATCTATAACAGAAAGAAAAGTAGGTGATATAGACTATGTATATATAGATAAGTTGGAAACCCAGATTTCTTCAGAGATTGATGACACTTCTTTACTCTGGCTAGTTGTTATTTATTACCCAAAGTTAGTATAGGTACTCTGACAGTTTTACGTGGCACATATGAATAAGTGCAAAACACAGTTTTGGTATTGAAGTTATGAAATGCAAAAGACAAGACGATAATGTAACCTTGTTTTTTTAATCTTAAAATATGTACAAGATGATCAGTTTTGATAGTTGGTCATGGTGCATGAGGTGTTTATATGTATCTTTTAATGTTGCCTGGTATAAAATGTGTATTGTATATTTACCTCGTAGCTCAATTTAGTAAAAGGAGTATTGAAATAGGTAAATAATATTTATTTATTGGGAGCACATATACATTTTTACTCCATTGAGTTGATTTAAAATAATACAGTAACTGATTCTTAATTTTGAATTTACCCATTTTTCTATATACTTTTAACTTTACTGAAAACTAGGTAATATTGTAATTGTGACAAATTACATTTACAACAAATACAAAATATTAGTTGCTTTGGTGAAGAAATATAAAGGCAAGGGATTTAAAATACAATCAGATGATAAGAAAATAAGAACCTTTTGGAAAGTCACTAAAGTTTCTTAACAAGATAGAAAATGCCTACACATAAAGCCCTATCAAACTAAAACTTTTGAGCTTGATACATTGGCATATTATTTTGAAATGTGGTAAAAATATTTCCAGAAAACTTGCTTCCTATTTACTTTGAAAGTTTATTATCCCAGTCTTCAAAATATATTTTGCAAACACTTATATTTGAGTGCTTTACTTAGTTTTTAAATTTCTAATACACAATGTTCTCCTAAGAAGAGTTTTAAATCTGTAAAAATTTTAATGCACTTGCTACAACTGCAAATATTTATCAATAAAACTGATACCAAAAACTTGCTTCAGATCTTCTCTGTAACATTTATAGTATCCTTGCAACCCACTATAGTACACAGAGTCATAAGTTCTATTTCCAAAAACTAGGCTTTGATTTATTGATAAGTATTTTTAAAACTATTACTGACAGGAATAGTACTATCCAGACCCAAGAGATATCTTTCCAGATTAATTCAATGGGATATTCTAGGCCTTAACTTTAATGAAAACTCTATAGAAGGCAAAGTACTACCCTAAGTGGTAACAGGTCTATCTGGGGACTCATTTTCATGTTGTGACAAAAGCTCTAAAATTAGTAGGGGAAAGGAACAGTATTGAGCACTGATGACAATCAAATGTAAAATTTTTCTTGTTATATGTACAACCTGAAATTCATTCTTCCTTCATTACCTCTCATAGTAAGTCTTCTGTTGCAGAAATTTCAGAATTTTAAGATTTAATTTATACCCAACTGCTACTAGAGCATTCCACCTTTTAATAATTAAAAATAAATATTTTAGAATATAAGCAAATTTCTTTTCTGAATACATTTCCTTTTTAAAGATCTAACTCTTATTTGTGTATTAAAGTGATACCATATATGGTGCTCACTAATGGTAAATGTATATCTACAGATCCATATATGTAATATAGTGAAAAAGTCAAGAACTTAAAATGACAAATTTAATTTCAAGTTAACATTTCTGTCTTCTGCAATGGTGGGGAAATCAGTTTTGCTCTCTGAGTCTATTTTCTCATATACAAATGAAGAATATTGATTTACGAGATGGCCATGAACATTAAATAAAATAAACAGGGAAAGAATGGTGTTACATATATTTCATCACAGTTCTTCAGCTCAATAATGATTACTACTTTTCAGGAATGTCTGTGTTAAATGCCATTTTAATACATGTTTCAAAACATACTTTAAAAATCTGACTAGTACCATAATTCATCCAAAAAATACAACCAAGCTTATTTTAAGATGGAGGAGTTTATCAGTGATATGGCTTTAGCCAAGATAATTCATAATCACTATTTTAATTTCACCAGCATCCTACAAAATCTATAATCTAAAACTGTTTCTTTCGATCATACACACAGATAAACCTAAACTTACAGATAGTGGAAATAAAACAACATTCCCAAGGATAAGAATAATATAAAGTTATTTGCCAAATATATAAATAGGTGATAGAGCTAAAACTAATAAAAGATTGACTCTAGAAAACATCATTCATTAAATCTGTTATTTTAGAATGGTTTCAGATTGATGGAAAAATTGCAATATCAGACCAAAAGTCCTCATCTATTTGACATCTGTAGGATATTAGTCACAATGAGTTAGTGTTGACAGATGAAGTCTATACTTTATTCAAATTTCCTTAGTTTTCATGCAGTCCTTTTCCTGTCCCAGGATCCCATTGAGGACACCACATTATATTTAGTTGTCATGTTTCCTTAGGCTTCTCTTAGCTGTAAGAATCTAAGAGAAAGCTTAGCTGAGAAAACTGTAAGCCTTCTCAGACTTTGTTTTTGATAACCTTGACAGTTTTGAGTACTGGTCTGGCATTTTTCAGAGTTTCTCTATTTTGGGATTTCTCTGATGTTTTTCTTATGATTAGACAGGGCTTTTGATTCTTGGAAGTAATACCACAGAGGTAAAGTACCATTCTAGGCACATGGTATCAATAGTACATTCATCATCATGTCTTCTTTTGCTGTGAGAATTTCTCAAACTTCAGGTTCCTTTCAGGAGTTGATACTGACCTTGATCACCAGATGAAGTACTTACTGCCTATTAGGTTCCACTAAAGAGTAGTAGATTTTTAAGAGGTTATATTACAGATAATTTTTAAGAAGTTATATATTACAAGTAAATTTAGTGGACATCTACACTGAGCTAAAAAAAAAAAACTCAAGGATATTCCTCAACACTACAATTAAGTTCAATTAAAGGCTTATTAGCAAATACCATGAATTTAGTGAACTGGAAAGTGAAATGAAAGAATAAAACACCAAAACAGCGTTAGTGTGACTACTTAATAGGGTAAAAGTGAATTTCCCCCAAAACTACCTGTGTAATTAATGTAATCATCCACATACTTTGAGTATTAAAGATCTTACTCTTACTAATTGTCATTAAGAGGTAATTTAAATTGACAATAATTCTGCTTAGTGCTTTTCTATATTTCCTCCATTGAACAATGTACACAATATTAGAATGAGACTTGATATCCCCTTCCTCCCCAGATTGAACCAATTTGTCATAAGTACGGTGTTTTTATATATGATTTTAAGATATTTGCTAAATACTAAAAAGAATTTTAATGTGCTTGCTTCTATTAAATTTATCATATGGAATGTGATAATTTATTATTACTATGTTCATTATATTTAGTAATCTATATTCATATTTTGGATCCCACTGATATTTGTTAGTGGACTATAAAGAAGTTTTGAGTACATGGATACAACTTAAGGACATCATGCTTGGTTATTTTGCAATGTCAAAATAACTGTAGGTGCTTATGAATTGAAGAGATACTCCCAAATATTTCCTACAATTTAAGGTTTTTCTGGGTTTTTATTCATCTTTTCTTGAATTTATCATTTTACATATGTACAATACACATCCGGAAAATATTTCAGCTAGATATTTCAGCATGTAATCGAATTTAAGCATGACAATAATGTAAGAAAATTCAGAAGTCTCTAAGTATATTTGAGTTTTCAAAGTTAATCAAACAGCTCTTTTCATTTTAAAATATCGTGGAAACCTATGGCTATTGTAAAATGCATATGCATTACACTTTCTTAAAATGTTTTGAATTAATAAAGAATTCACCAGTGTATCCTTAGACAAGTTACTGTTTCCTCATTGGTGTAACACTATAAGAATAAAAGATACACTTATATGTGTTGCTTAAATTGCTTATGCATCTGAGGGAAAGTAAATTCTGGCTGGATTCTTTACATTGTTCTATAAAGTTACTGCTTATAACAATTTTGCACCTTTTATAAATAATAAAATACATTCTTGAAATGACTTATATTTTGAGAATGCAGCTGAGATATTTATCATATTGAGTTCAAATTACTTCCACCATTTATTTCTAAAGTTCAAAATTGAGTTTAGAGTTAAGAAATAACTTCATATAAAGATATAACAACCTAGTGGGTCCATTCTGTGCTCAGATCTGAATTGAGTGCAGACCACTATTACAGCCAAACAATTTTAAGGGGTTTTTTGGGGGGGGGTACGGGGGATCGAACTCTGGTCCTTGCGGTTGCACAGCAGGTGGTGAAGCCACTAAGCTAAATCCCCGGCCCTTACAGCCAAACAATTTTATAAAGTAATGCAGCTTGAATACACAAGTGAAAAGATGAACTGTAATTGTTGGAGCTTTTAAGTAGCAGAACTATTTTTGCATTGTAGTATTTGAAGAATTATTTCATTCTTCTACTTCATCTTGCATTTGTCATGCAGTGCTAAGGGATGAAGAGAGACAATGCAAATTCATTTTTAAGAATTTATACTTAGTAGTTTTATTCTGATGACCAAAAGATATTTTTTAACCTTGTTATAAGTTCCCATTCTTTACCATTTGGTTTTATTGTTAAAGAATAAATTAGATGAAGGGAGGATGAGAGGGGAGGGGAACGGTATGAAAAAAGATGTGCTATGTACATGTACCAACCCCCACATGGAATGTAAACATTATGTACTGCAAACATGTACTAATAAAACAACTTTTAAAGCTCTAGGAAGCCACTGAAGGGCTTTACGCAGTTGGAGGTGGAGTATAAGTTAGAAGCTACTTCAGTAAGTCATCTATCTCTCATAGCAGTGTAACTCCACTTCACTGAGTAGGTAACTGCACAAATCAGTTAGGTAGTGGGCATTTCCAGACTGAGGAGTCAGTCCTTGCATTCTCAGGTTGTATTTATTTCTTCCTATTCATTTCTATTGTGGACTCTGAATAAGTCTTCTGAAAACCGCAAAAAATTATAACAATAGATTTCAGTATTCCTGGCCGCTATCCAAAGTTTTAGGATTGAGGGGGCAAAGCATTAGGCTATCTGAGGCAAGTCTTTTTTTCTTTTTTTTTTTTTTAAACCTGGTGCTGGGGATGAAATCCAGGGCCTCACCCATCCTAGGCAAGGGGTCCACCACTGGGCTACATCCCCAGCCAAGCTGGCAGGTCTTCTAAGGCTTTGCTGTGACAGGTTGTTGGAACACTCAACCTCCATTAAAAAAAAAAAAAAGTGGAGAACGGGTGGGCAGGTCAGGTGAGAAGTTATTTTAAAACAAGTAGATTCTGCAGATGAGTGGTGTGAAAGCAGATGCTGTAAAATCACTCGATGTCTTAGAAAACACTTCGGCAACATGCTGCTTTGCCATCCCTGCCCAACATGCAGCAGCAAGCGCTGGAAGGCGTTTCCGACTGAGGCTTTTGAGGAGGCGCCCCAGGCCTCCCGGACCGCCCCGGGACAGCCCCGCCCCTCCCACTCACCTTTTGGCCTTCAATTTTGCGGCTTTCCCACGCTTGGCGGAAGTTATCACCAACGCTTCCGGCAGGCGCGGCGCCGCTGGCTGGGCGTGGTTAACTCTCACTCTCTAAACTCCGCGTAGTGTCGCGAGATTGCCTCTGCTTGGATCTTCCGGTCCACTACCTACTTCCGTCCCCGTTTCTCCCGGCCTAGGGATGTGGTGCCGACTTTTGTGGGGTGCTGCGCGTGGTCTGTGGGCCTGCCGGGCTCCCTGCCAGCCTCACCGGTTTTTCGGCTGCAGCAGCCCGCCGCTGGAGGAGCTGTTCGTCCGCGGCGGGCCCCTGCGAACCTTTCTGGAGCGCCAGGCAGAGTCCGAAGCCCATTTACAAGTCAGGGGTCCTGAGTTGATGGCAGTGGCCAAACTCCTGAGCCAGAAGGAGCAGGAGCTGCGGGAGACCGAGCACTTGCTGCACGGTAAGGCCCAGGCCAGGGGAGCGATATCTGCCCAAAATCTTGGACTCTTCGTTTGCCCTTTACGCCGCTGGCCAGGTGTCCACTCTACCGAGTTTGAAGTTCTTCAGTTAGGTGCAGTCGTTTTTGTCTTGGATCACAGGTCAGAAAATCATTACAGGCGTTTCTGATCTCACCTTCTCCTGTCGGCGCTCTTGGGCTCCCTTGCCCACTGAACTGCCCCGCTTCACCAAATTTGGTTGACATTTCTTTATTCCATATGGCAGGAGCACACTTGCTCAAGACAGATAAGGCATAGTCCCTAGGATGGGCTCCAGACCAAAGTTGCACTGTGATGTGGACATCATCTGCAATAGTATGAGGAGCGGTGCTCGCTAAACTCGGACATCTGAAACCTAGGATTACACATTTTCAGCAAATTTCCCAAGTGGTTCTCCCTGGCTTTCGAATCTGGGGTGGAGCTTAAGTTTCTACTTTACTACAAGAACCTTGAGATGCCGGGCTGCTGATCTGTGGGGTAGCAAGGATCCAGAGTGGGTTGCAGTCTATACGTGGACACAGAACTAATTATGATATATCTGATAAATGAGAAGTTATGCATATATGACTAGAGACCTAAGGGAGAACTTGCTGGGAAGGTGATGCAGAAATGGAAGGACTTACCCTTAGAGGATATAATAGTATAACCTTTATTGATACGTTACCATGCTTCAGGCTTTGCTTAGCTTTCTTTACTAACTCATTTCATTTCACATAATAAGCCGTGAGCTAGATACTGTTAGCCCCATGTGACAGAAGAGGAACCTGAGGCTCAGCAAGGCAAAATAACTGCTCAGCATTATAAACGGTTTACAAGAAATGGAGTTAGTATTGGACTCACTCCCAGTCTCCTACTCTTTATTCATCATGGTACTTGTAGTGGGGAAAGGAAGAGAAGTTATGGGAAGTGGCAGATGGGAATCTCTCAGCATTAAAAAGTTGATTGTATGTTGTTGGCAGATGTGAGCCAGCAGAAGCTTTTAGATTGGGAAATGAGTGAATTGGTTTTGTCATTTAAGAAGCTTTGATTTATGGCAAAGTCGTCTGGAATGAGATTGAAGATGGCATAAAAAAACAAAAAGCTAATGCATTATCTAAGTGCGAGTTAATAAAGTGATTTAAGAGAAAAGCAGCATCTCTTGATTGTTTGGTTTGGGTTTTGGTTTTGTTTGTTTTCAAGACAGGGTCTTACAATGTCATTTAAGTTGGCCTTCAATTTACAGTGTAGCCTAAGCTGGCCTTGAACTCCCAGCAATCCTCCTGCCTCAGTCTACCAGGTGCCTAGATTACAAGTGTGTATTACTACACCAGGCTTGTTTTGAGTGGTTTTTAAAAAAATGATTGATTATTCAATGGTATTGATAGTAATGTCTTTTGGGAAAAATTAAATTGGATCCATAGTTTAAGCAAGGCTTAAAATGCAAGTGGATTTAAAGGTTAAATATTTTAAAAATCAAACTAGAGAAGTTGACCGAATGTTAGAAAACTGTGGCTGATGGAACAAAACAAAATATGTCATTAAGTAGGTTTTTAATTATTACTGTGTCACACACCACTCATTACCAAGAAATTATGGAATGGACTTTAAGGAGCTTACAGTTTAATGAGGAAAAGAGAGAGATATTTAAGAAGTAAAAATACAAGTGAATGAATATTTTAATTTCTATAATAAAGAGAAGAGTGTTTTAAAAATAAAAGCTGGCATTTGAATTGATCTTGAATAGGAACCAGGTTAGTGCAAGAGAAGGGCCCACTCCTGTAATCCCAGCTACTGAAGCAGGAAAATGGCAAGTTCAAGGCCACCCTAGGTAACTTAGTGAGACCCTGTCTCAAATTAAAAATTAAAAAGGGCTGGAGATGAAGTTCAGTGATAACATGCCCCTGGTTCAATCCCTAGTACTGTGAGAGACAAAGGGCTGGGGCGGAGGAGAGAGGGAGGGAGGGAGAGAGAGATGGAGGGAGAGAGAGATTGAGTTGAAGGCCAAGGGGATCAATAAAGATGAAGGTACTGTATTGGGAAATAGAGTATGGCAGGGCATAGAACAGAAGACTGTAACATAAAAGAATCTTGAAACAAACCAAAAAAGTTATGAACCTTGCATGACAAAAAATTTGGATTTGTTTTTATAGACTACAGAAAGTTAACATGGTTTAAGAGAAGTGATATCTTTTTAAAGCAACACTGATATTGGCATCACTGTTAAGGATAAATTGGAATATTCTCTTGAGAAACTGGTAGCTGAAAGGCCAATGTGAACAGGTCATTAAAACAGACCAAGGAAGAGGTAGTGGTAAGGCAGAGATCTGACTTGCAAGACATTCTGAAGAATAATAGGATTTCATGGTCTGAGAAGGATGAAAGAGAATTCTAAGAAAAATCTCAAGTTTCTGGCTTCAGAATTAGGAGTGGTCCTGATAACTAAAATGAAAATACAAAACTTGGATTGAATTTAGGAAAAAGATGAGTTTTACAGTAAAATAAACCCCAAAGAAGGACATTCAGATAAAGATATTCTGATCTAGAAGAAAGAAAAAAAACTACTAAATAGAAAAATTGAGCCTGAGTAAATTGTAAGAGAAATATAACCTGGTAAGTTAAAAATAGATAAAAATGCTTAGTGCAGATCTGTAGAGATATAAATAAGACTAACAAGGCCAGAAATACATAGTACTGTGTTTGAGGAGCAGGCAAAAGGAGACCTTGGGACTTTGTTAAATAAGTAACAGCTGTAAACACCACTTACAGCGTTGCAAGAAGTAAGAGATGCATAGTGGCTGACTTAAAAAAGTTAATACCTTTTCAAAAGTAGATAGATTTTAGATTTTACAATTTTGTCACGAGAAATTTTAATGAAACAGCTTTCTTAATGTGATTGTAGAGTCTAGCAATTTCAAAATCAATTAACAGAAGAGAAATCATCAATCTGGCATTTTATCTCAAAATTTTGGTGGGAAAAGGGGGTGACAACAAGCAATTTCTTTAAGGGTAAGAGAAAAGGACCTCTCTATAATGGAGACACCACGGATAGGTGCCCGGTAAACATGTATTGATTCATGATACTGAAAAACAAACTAAACTTGTAAATAGCCTTTTAGAGCTGCCATCCAGTATGGTAGCCAGAAATAGAATATGGCTATTGAGCTTCGATAATGGGGCTTGTTTGAATCAAGATATGCTAGGAGTATAAAATACACAGATTTCAAAGATTTGGTATACGAAGTTTAATATTTTTGTATCGATTACACACTGAAATGATATTTGAAGTATACTGTGTTAAAATGTAGAGTTAAAATTATTTCTAACCTCTCTCCAGTCTCCTTAGCCTTGCACAAGATAACATTTCAAAACTGAAAGGAACCTTAGAGTCATCCAGCTAAAAACTGATTTTACTCTTGATGTAACTCAGACTCGGAGAAGTTGAGTGTGTTGCCTAAAGAGCACCTTAGGAGTTGAGCTAGAATTCATGTTTATTTATTTTTTTTCTAACTCAACATACTATCTTTTTTAAAATTTCCTCTATGCCATACTCTTTCCAAATTAATTTTATACTTTTCCATCAATGCGTATCTCAGTTTTGCTACTGTCATTTTCTCTCCTCGAGTCGGTCCTTTCCTTTTGCTCAACCCTCCCCCCCAATAAAAGTTCCTTCAAACTGCAACATTTTAATATTTAATTACCTGGTGTTTTAGATTTTCTTCTAGAAATATACAAAGAAATTAGAATTATCTGTACTTCTGCCTTAAAAGTAGGTTTTTATTTCCCATTGGAAAAGGATTTTATTTCACCATAAAAATGCAACCTGGAATAAATGTCTCCTAATAGAAATGTGTACAGCCAGCTTTAAGTATCCCTGAGCCTCACTTTTGAGATGTAAACAATTAAAATTTAATAAGTTTACAGGCTTAAATCTTTTGGAAACATTCCAAGTAGAAATAATTTAGTAAAAACAGCTTCTTATAAAAATACCATACACACTAACCGTTCCTACAAACTAAAGCTTTTAATCAACCTTTTTATGCTTTGTTACACTTGAAGTTGTAAAAAGTGAATGTTTGCAAGTCAGGGAGCATCACACCACTCGACGTAGGGCACGTTTGAGTTCTCCACTTTCTTAACCAGGACTGAATGTGCCGCAATCATCTTCTCTTTGCATTGCACCAGTCATTTAAAAATTACACAAAGGGGAGAAAAACAGAAAAAGCCCACCATAGCAAGGCATTTTCCCACCTTGGACCATGAGAGTCTGTGGGTGCTCTCACTTGTGACAGTCCCTCCCACTTCCAGCTTCAGGACATGATGACACTGCTGGCCTGGCCTGGCGCACACAAATTCTGTTTTGTAGTCTGCATGACGGGTCTGCCATTCTTAACATTACGAGTCTTTGTGGTTTTCCTGATTAGAGGACAGGCCACATTTCCTGACCAACAGTTTCAAAGGAAAATGAAAAATAGTGACATGTCTGGAATTGAGGTGCCAGATGTGGCCTTGTGTGCTAATGAGAGTAAATTTCTAGCACCCTATTTTCCTGTGAACTGTGGGCTCAGGTTCCTGGGACATTTAGCTGCATAAGAAGCTTGGCTTCACACAAGCAGGCAAGAGCCACAGGACGCAGGGCAGCGACCTTGGGGAGGCCCAGCCCTTCATTACTTGTTCCTGGTTCTGTGGTGGCTGCTAGCAGACTGGGAGTTACTCTCATGGTGGTGGCTGCACCCCCTGCTCCTCTCCCTGCGGCTGTGCCTGCCTTTGCTGTGGGACCTCTGCGGGCGTGGCCAGGGGCTACCCTGGTCCCTGTGGGAGAGCTTCTGGCATGGCTGCTGCTCCTTGCCCTGCAGCCTCAAGTCTTCACATCTTGCTGCGGTTCTGGCCCAGCTCCTGTCTGGTGCATGCTGTTCCTCCTCGGCGCTCCTGTTGTGTGTGACCTGCATGTGGCCTTTGCTGGGCTCCCAGTTACTCTTGACGTGCTTCAACCGGTCCTCCTTATTGAGTACGTTGTGGTCACAGGTGGGGACATCCTTGGCCTGCTGGTTGCCCTTGGGGATGCAGGCAAGGACCCCTGGGTACCTCCTCTCCAGGGAGTCACCCTCCAGACCCACACAGACTGGAATGTGAGCCTCCTTGCACCCAACCTTGTCTATTATGCTGTTTTGTACGTTCCTGGGTGTGCAGGCAACCTCCATGTGGGGCAGGGCCTCCTTGGAGGTTCTGGGGGGTAGTGGGCCCCCAAGGGGGTACAGCATAGCTGCGTCTAAGGGCTGCTGAGGATCTTTGTGCACTTGCATATCATGGGGCTTCTTGCACTGCAGGGTGCTCAGGTGCTGCACCTGCATCTTGTGCACCTTCTCCACCTGCCTCAGCTTCTCCTGCTGCTGCTGTTTCTGCAGCTTTGCAGCCTTTGCTCTCCTCAGCAGCTCCACCAGAAGCCGGATGGACTGGAGGTCCCTTTGTACCAGCAGCAGCTTCCTCTCCTCCAGCTTTATCTTCTGGAGCTTTTTCTGCTCTTCCACTTGAAGCTTCTCCAGCTGCTTCTGACTCCGCCGGAACTCGAAGTCCCTCTGCTTTTGTTGTCTCTTGTGAAGCTTCTCTTCCCTCTTCCTCTCTCTCTCCAGTTCTTCCAGCTCCTTCTGTTTCCTTTCCTTCACCCGAAGCCTCTCTTCTACTTCCTTCTCTCTGCGCTTCTGTTCTCGCTGCTTCTCCAGCTCTTGAAGCTTCTGCCTCTCCAGCTGTCGTTTTTTAATCGAAGCCTCTCCTAGGTGTTTGGTGGAATCAAAAGAAACTTTGATATTACAAGCCACAGCCTTACCGTCTTTCCCTTTGTACATCAGCTTCACCCCCTGCAAGGCCCTCATGGCCTGGAGGAAGCCCCCATACTCGCAGTACTGTATGTAGGCCTCAAAGTTTAAGTGTCCTCCAAAACCGAACACATGGAAATTCCGACTAGTCATCTCCTCTCGGTAGGGGTCCAGCATGGGGATGTCCACATTCCTAATCTCCCCAAACTTCTTGAACACCTTGACAAGTACCTCCTGGCTAGGCTTCTCCGAGCCTGACTCCTTCTGGGCGAACCACTTGCAGGGCAGCCCCTGTAGGTGGATGGTGTCCGGCCATTCCCTTGGCAGCGTCTCATTCCTTTCCTTTGCATTGAGGAAGAAGTCCCAGTCACCGCAGGTGGGGGGGACATCCATCTTGAACTCAGTGGCGTGCACCTTCAGGATGTCAGGGGAGCCACTGAGCTTGATGGTCTTGCCATCCAGGCAGGCTAGGAATGACTCAACCAGGCTCTTGTTCTCCACCTCCCCCTCAAAGCGGATGAAGTCCATGGTGCTCTTGGAGATGCGCAGTGTGGAGAACTGGTGATGGTGCACCATGTCCTTGAGCCGCTCCATCACCTCCCAGTTGGAGATGGACTTCCCAGGCTGCTGCAGCTGTGGGAGGGCCACGCTGATACTCATCTTGCTGATGGGCTTCAGGTACAGGCCATGGGAGGGGCAAAGCTCCACCGCCTCAGATGTGTCATGCACAATGGTAGCCACAGCCATAGCCAGGACCTTAGGCCTGAAACACAAGATGCAGATGGCCAGAGTGAGGCAAGGGAAAGAAGAGGGGCCATGCTGGAGAGACCCATTGAAGAGAAGGAAGTCTGTCTTGTCACAGAAATTGCTCTCGGCCTCATTAAAAGCCATCACTATCAACCGAATTTGCTAATGAGTGTGGAGGAGGGCTTGTGTAACTGGGGGCTAGACAAAGACCTGTGAGCCCTCAAGGGCACAGGACACCCCAGGGAGCCTGATCCTGAGCCAAAGCAGCTCTGCCACCTACTGGGTACTCCATGCAGGCACCAGCAACTCCACCGCCCAGGAATCGCAGGCATTCTATTACCCTCACCCAATCTGTCCAGCTATCTCCTAGGCAGGTACCCTCCCTAGTCCTCCATATTTCTAACCCCCCCACCCCGTGACCCAGTCCCCAGAGTTCCCCAATATTCCTAGATACCCCAGGCCCCCATATACATGTGGCCCCACATTCCCAGCCCTCCAATATCCCCACCCTCCTCCCATGAGCCCTAAATCACATATACCTCAATAACTCAAAGGTGCAACGGTGCAGCACCCAGGACCCCGGATAACTAGTCCAGCTCTCAGTCAAACCCCTGACTGCCACATAGGGGCCCAGATACTACCCCCAGAACCCCCTTTGCACCCTGAACACTCAACACTGCTCCTGAAACCACCTTCCGCTCCCTAGTACCCCATATAATCACTGGTATCCCTGCAGCCGTTTGGCACTGCCCCTAATCTCCAAGTTCCACCCCTCAGACCCCTTCTGCAACCCTTGGTATCAGTTTCCCAGCCCCCCAAACTCCTGACTCCATTTGGCTCCTGGTGACTCCCCCAGACCTGTACTGTTCCTAGCCTCTGTATCATCCCAGCACTCCTGTATGATCTCCGCTACCACACCCACCCCCAGCGCCCCTGTATAACATACGCCGTACCTCCGGAGCCTACTGGCGTGGCGCCCGGAAGTGAACCAGATCTTCAGTACTCTTAGACCCTCCACACCGCTCCCACACTTGGCCGTCTAGCAGCCCTGTATGAAGCCCCGAGTACTGCCCCCAGAATCCCCCATACCTGGTTCTGCCCCCTGGGTCCCAGGCAGCAGGGGCCGGACTAGTAGAGGAGAGGCAGTTGAGGGCATCAGTGGTGGCGTTCTGAGCTGGGGCTCGGACTGCGACCCAGCCCTCCCCGGCCCCCACGGTGCCGCCACCTTCTGTGACCTGTGTAAAGGTAGCTCTTACACCTGTATTATGTATTATCGCCAGTTACCAACATGACTGGTTCTTAATAGATAAGCATACAAGCTGATACTCTTTGAAGTCTTTAATCTTTCACTGAACAATTTATAATACCTAAAAAAAATTCTCCTTTCACAATAAATAACTTTGTTTTTAAATTCAGTCTTGGTTTACCTAATGGAAACCTCCATTCCCTTTCTGGTCTGACTAGCTAAATGCATTCATTTGTTATTGTTATGGCCTAATCTGGAAAACTGAAAGTTTATTAATGAATTTCATGAAGGTACAACTATAGAAAAGTTTAGCTTTATTTTTCTGTATGTTTTTTGAGTTTGTTGTACTTTCGTCATCAGATAAGTTTGTTTTAGGGCCAAGATGAGCTTAGTGGTTTCGCTGCCTGCCTCACAAATACAAGGTCCCGAGTTAGATCCCTGGTACCAAAAAGAAAAGTTTGTTTTATAGCCACATGCTTATGAAAGTTAATGTATAAAATGCTTTTAATTGATGGGACCAATTAAAAAGACAAGATAGACATTTTATGCTTCAACAGTGCTAACAACCTATTATCTTGGAGTCTGTTCACAACACTTAAGAAAAACTTACCTGCTGCCTTTCTTTTCAGATGAGAATGAAGATTTAAGGAAACTTGCAGAGAGTGAAATAACTTTATATCAGAAAGAAATAACCCAGTTAAAGCACCAGGTAGGGTATTTGTGTAAAAAATGAAGCATTTGTGCCATTTGTTACGTATTTATCTTTTTGTCCCTAGCAGTAGTACAGTGTCAGTCCTAGAGTTCCAAAATCACACGCTTTCTCTTCCATATTAAGGAAGCTTCCAATTTCAAATTTGAGTGTTTTAGTTTTTCGTCCATAATAGTCCTATGTACAGTAAGCACTTTTTTCTTATTAACTGGAGAACCAATAAAAACCGTAACTCCTAAAAAAAAAACCAAAAAACAAAAAACCATAACTCCTAGAAAAAATCAGATGAATTTTATTTATGATATAGTTGTAACATTAATACTTTAAGGAAATTCTTCTGCATTCTGTTTCTAATTGGCAAGATGACAATTAGATTGGCAGCAATATTGTTTGCTTAGAGAAATGACCCCAGAACCCCCATCTGTCCAGCTATCTCCTAGACCCAAGTACCCTCCCCAGTCCTCTAGATTTCGGCCCCCCATGATGTCCCAGCCCCCAGGGTCCCCCAGTATTCCTGGGTCCCCCAGTATTCCTGGATACTCCAGGCTCCCATATACATGTGGCCCCCACAATCCCAGCTCTCTTGTATCTTTGGGGTTTGGGGGGTAAATTTTAAATAATTATTCATTATAGGAGAGAATATTTTTGTATTTACAGATTATCTTACTTTTGGTTACCTCAGAAGAAACTGATGAAAAGGATTTGATCCTGGAGGTAACTGCAGGAGTTGGGGGTCAGGAGGCAATGTTGTTTACTGCCGAGATATTTGATATGTATCAGCAATATGCTGCATTTAAAAGATGGCATTTTGAAACCCTGGAATATTTTACAAGTGAAATAGGTCAGTGAACTGTTCAGTTTGTTTTGGTAAAATGTAGGTTTAATTTATCTATCTCCATGTGTCCTAGGAAAAAGGTCAGCAAGACCATGACTAGCTTTAGAACTTATTTGTAAGGAAGCTTAGTTTTGTGGTTCATTTACCTCATCATTTTGAATGTAAACATAACACTTTTGAAATGGCCTGTAAAATCTGATTAGTCATTCAATAGTAGCCATTAAATGACTATTAATCTTTAAAAATGGTCTTTTAAATGTGTTGTCAATTCATTAGCACCAAAAATGCTTTATGTTTAATAATTATAAACAGCAAAGACTAAGACTAAATAACAAAGTCTTGCTATAGTTCTTTAATATGCTTATTTTTTTTGATTCTGTCTAGTATATTTCAAAATAGATGTCAGTTATTTATAAATGGCAAGAATAATAAAAAGAATTGTATTTTCTACTTTCAAGGTGGCCTTAGACATGCTTCTGCCAGCATTGGGGGTTCAGAAGCCTATAAACGTATGAAATTTGAAGGAGGAGTACATAGAGTACAAAGAGTGCCCAAGACCGAGAAGCAGGGCCGCATCCATACTAGCACGATGACGGTGGCAATATTACCCCAACCTACTGAGGTAAGGGATAGTTACCCCTGGTCTTGGAATCCTGAGGCAAGTCTAGTGTCTTGCCCCTTGATTTGTTTTTCAGAATGATGTATGAATTATTTGAGGAGAAGGAAGTTTAATCAAAGGTTTCTGTTTATTAATTTTGAGGAAACGTTCCATTTAACTCTATAGCAGGGTTACTGGAGTTTCTTTAAGTAATTTTTTTGTGAAGCCTAGATGGGGACCTGAACAGTTAAAGGTGAACGTGAAACCGAATAAATGGCGGGAGCCGCCACACCTAGGTACTACTCACTTTGCTTTAACCACTCGTAGTGGTTTGCACTTGGAGATGATAAAAGCTTTTATGAGAAAATGGGAGAGAGAGGTTTGTATATCATCCAGGTCTCTTGGCAACTTTACAAGGGAGGCCTGTAGGGACTGAAGGAAGACTGGAAGACTAAGGGCATGACAGACAGCCTTCTTACTGTCAGCACTGCAGACATGTGAGAGTAGTCAACAGTTGCTCATGGAACAGAGCTTTTTAAAGCTAATGCTTCTGATGGTGACTCCTAAGACAGAATTATCCTGTTGTCAGAACGCAGTGTATTCCTTGATCTACACCCTTGGCTTCTTGGCCTTTGCCATGTCCCTTTGCCTCAAAATACGTCTGAAATAAGTCCTTCCTATATTCAGGCTAGCATTTTTCTCCCCACTAACGTCTTCTTCCATGTAGAAGTATTCTGTAAAATCTCATTTTAGGTCATGTACACACATTTCTAACAGTAACTAAGTTCTGTTCATGAGGAAAAAAGAAAGTAATTCACAGAGAAGCTTGGTTTTTGAGCATTAGGAAGTGTTTGCTTTTGCTCTGCCTTGTGTTTTGATTCCCTACTTTTCTTAAAGGAAAAACAGTTTAATAGTATCCTTCCAACTACTATTTATTCTTAAAATTAGATCTTTTAAATTTTAGAAGAACTCATATATACAGCTGGTACACGTAATTTTTAAAATTGCCACATTTCTTCACATGTATAGATTAATCTGGTGATTAACCCTAAAGATCTGAGAATTGATACAAAGCGAGCCAGTGGAGCTGGGGGTCAGCATGTAAATACCACAGACAGTGCTGTCCGGATAGTTCACCTTCCAACGGGTATGTACTTATTTCTTGAACATAAAATATTGAAGAAAAATCAATTTCTGAGGGAAATTACTAATTTTCCACTGATATAGACCCTCAATACCAAATAAATATATACTACTAAGGACTGTTATTAGTTACATGATCTTAGAATCTGTAGCTGATACTTTGCAGGGCAATTACAAAGCCAGGAAGAGGAGGAGGTCTGAGCCCAAGGAGTTTCCTTATTAGTGACTATGAAGAGAGGTGTCTATCAGTAGTCCTTCCAAATGGCTTTTTGAAGTATATATTTAATAATTTTAGATATTTTTTAAATGCTTACAGTGAAGTTATTATGGTTGTTTATTAGAAAATACCCTAAATCAGTGTTTCTTGTCCTTTTTGGAGGACTCCTTTCAGAAAATGTCAGCATTGGTCCTCCTACCCAGAAACCTACATCTACATAAAATTTTGCATATAATTTGAGGGGTTTCTTGCCTTTATTGAATTTATTCACAGACTTCCAAGGATCTGACTTCAATAATAAGTTAAAGGAATTGTATCTAAATCTTTTAAAGTCTCCAATATACTACTATGTAGAACTAAGTAGTAAGTGTTACTACAGTGACTTACAATAAAGATAAAGAACACAAGGCTAGCAGACCACACATATCTAAAGGAATACAAGAATCTCTTTTTGAGACTGATTTCAAATAAGCACAGCTTCCATTAACCAGGTTTTTTTTAACCAGTTTTGTTAATGAGTGCTGAACTAATAGTTTTTTTGTTTTTAAATATAGGCAAATCCTCACGTTAAACTTTAAGGTGATGTCTTAAATACCATAGAGTACACAAACAGGAATAGGAAAAAAAAGTGGAAACCCTCAAAAGTATTAATAGCGCTATTTCTAATAATAGGATTTTGAACTCCTATATATCTTAGTTTCTATAAGGAATTATTTTAAAAATGTAAGGGGGTATTAGAAAGCAATCTATATTACATGATTTGTGTTTATTGTTTAGTATATATGCTTTCCATAAGGAAGTACTTTGTGGTATAGCTCAGACTTAAACTTGCAGTTTTCTGATAAACTTTATAAAGATTGATATCTGCCTTTTATGTTAGAGTACTGTTCTACTCTGCTCATAAAGGAAGAAAAAGGATAAGAAGGAAAAAGAGTTTTCCTTGATAAAAGATGCAGATATTTAATTCTCATCGTATTATTCAGGTGTTGTTTCTGAATGCCAACAAGAGAGATCTCAACTTAAAAATAGAGAGACTGCTATGAAAAAGTTACGTGCAAAGCTTTACAGTATGCATCTAGAGGAAGAAACAAGTAAAAGATACAATGCAAGAATGATTCAGGTAAAAAGTAACTTAAAAATGCTTCTAAAAGATAAACATATTTTTGGTTAACTCAGTATTTGTATGTCAAAATTATTTTCATATATTTGGCAAAATAAGAAAACAAGTAGCTTAAATAAGGTTCTATAGTAATCTTATATCTCTCAACATCTTTCAAAAGCATCTTTCTTGGGCTTTGTCAGAGTGACTGAAAAGAAGATATACTGAGTCCCCATTCATTTTTAAGCTTTTGAAATTATGGAAGCAAGACAGTTGGAAAGTAACAACTTACTTTTCTGTTTGGCATTTAATTTTTTAATTTACATAGTCTTTTTAAGCATTCCTCAACATGAGACATTCATCACCTTTTCACTACTCAAAATTACTACATTAACTCACAGAGATTATGTATTATGGTCTACTATTTGAATATCAGCTGTTTTCCAGCTTCTGTATATACATCGTCACTGTGTAATAGACATTACTTGTCTTTATTTTACAGATAAGGAAATCAAAGTTTAGACTTGAAGTAGATTGCCTGAAGTCATACAGCATTAAAGTGGCAAACACAGGATTCAAATACTAATCTGATTTTAAAGCCCACATTCTTTTTTCTATATCATGTTCCCATGTCATTTAGGAATTCAAAATATTAAAACTTTGTTCCTGAATTGTGATTCATATCAAGAACTTAATCCTCAAAGGAAGCTAAATTTGTAAGTTTAAGCTGTCCTGAATCTAATTGCATCTCATATCTTTTAATAGGTTGGAACTAAAGGAAGATCAGAGAAAATAAGAACATACAATTTTCCACAGAACCGGATCACAGATCACAGAATAAACAAATCACTGCATGATCTTGAAACTTTTATGCAAGGAGATTATCTACTGGATGAACTTATACAATCATTGAAAGACTATGCTGATTATGAATCTTTAGTAGAAATTATTTCCAAAAAAGCTTAAGGTGATCTGTTATTAAAACCTTTTATATAACATATGGCTTAGAAAAATTTTATCACACTAAATACCCACCAGTACTTTCTTGAAAAACGTAAGTTAGCACAGGTGGAAGTAATGTGCATATTCCTAAGGCATGGATCATTACTGTAGATCTCTCTCAATGTATCAGTAAAACACATACCCAGGATCACCATTACTATTGTTATAAACCTCAAACACTTCTGCATAAGAAGTAGACAATGGAAAATAGTCATTTGTTTCCAGTAAAATATTTAATTGATGATCAAAAATTTAGTTTAAATTTAGTTTAAATTTAGTTTAACTAAATTTCTATTAGAAATGCTTCAAATATAAAATACATACCATGCTAGTCAGTGTCCAGTCAGGAGACTGAAACCATATCATTAATTTGACTGACAGTGGAATAAAAGAGAACTCTGATACACTAAGAGATGGTACCTTAGGACTGAAGAAATGCCAGATGAATGAATACCCTTGCAAGCTCCCACCCCCTAAACACAGGCCTGTTAGAGGGTATGGTTGCAAACCACTCAATGATGGAAAGGTTCCTGTGTTGCCCTGGGTGAGACCTGATATACACCTGGTTGATCAGGCGTTATAAGCAGACAGCTTCAGACCCCAGCAACTGGTAAGCAAGAAACTTTCTGTCAAGGTGTAAATAAAACTTGTTGGCTAGTAAGCCTTTCTGTATTATGGCTCTTCAGAGAAGCAGAAACAATAGGATGTGTATAAATGGAGAAGATTGGCTCATGTAATTATCACACCTGACAAGTCCAAAATCTGCAGTGTATCCCAGCAGTCTGGAGACCCAGGAGAGCTGATAGTACAATCCCAGTCCTAAAACACCCTGCTGGAGAATTCTCTTGTTGGAGATAGCTGGCCTTGTTCTAATCAGACTATCAGCTGATTGGATGAAACCACTGACATTATGGAGAAGGTAATCTGTTTACTCAAAATGCAGATTTAGGTGTCAATTTCATCCAAAAACTTCTTCACAGGGCTGGGGATTTAGCTCAGTGGTTTCGCCACCTGCTGCACAAGCCCAAGGACCCGAGTTCGATCCCCGGTACCACAAAAAAAGAAAAACCAAAAACTTCACAGAAATACCCAGACAGAATAATGTGACCAATTATGTGGGTGTCCCTACTGACACAAAATTAACTGTCAGTGTCCAAAAGTGCCCTGGCAGCACAGAAACAAAAGAAATGAAGCCCTATCCTTTCGGTGTCCCTCTACCAACCCTTACTGACAAAGGTTAACACGGTGCCAAGACAGATGTACAGATTGGTATGGTTTGAACGTGTCCACTTCCAAATTCAGATACTGCCAGTCTAATAGTATTAAACTCTTGATTAGCCTATGAGAGTTCTCCATCCTGAATGGGATTAATGCCCTCATAAAAGAGGCTTCATGTGGTGTTCAGCTAGCTTACCCTTTATGACAGCATAGCAGGAAAGCCCTCCACTAGACAAGAAATGCCAGAACCTTGAACTTGGAGAAATTTCTGTTCTTTATAAATTACCTACTCTCAGCTGGGCATGGTGACACACACCTGTAAACACATCATCTGGGAGGCTGAGGCAGGAGTATCACAAAGAGTCAGTCTGAGGCCAGCCTGAACTGCATAGCAAGTCCCTGTCTAAAAAAAACACAAAACAAAACAGAAAAATTAACCTACTCTCAGGTATTGAGTTATAGCAACACAAATGGACCGAGACACTGGTCCAGCTCCAGTATTGCTAAGTTAGGTAGTGAAAGGTGAATTTTTTGCTGAGATACAATAGACTTAACTGGCAAAACACCCATAGTCATTGGCTAACTTCAATAATGTTTTCATATTTGCTTACTGCTTGAGGTAAATTACAAATATCAACACTTCACCATTAAGTATTTCAACCTATACTTTCAAAAAATGCCACTATTCCACTGAAGCATGTATTATCACACTTAACAAAATTCACACCAAATCCCAAGTATCTCTAGATACCCAAGCATTCAAATCTCTCCAGCTGTTCCCTAACGTGTTGGAGCTGACTTCTTCAGACTAAGATCCAATTAAAGATTATGCATGGAATGTGGCGGTTTTATCACTTAAATTTCAATGTAGAACAGCTTTGCCACCCTCCCTCCTTTTCGCATGGGATTGCAGTACATTTTCATGATCTTGAGAAGATCAAGCTAACTATGGTTGTCATTTAACTTGCTCCTCAAGTCAGTATTTCTTGAAAACTAGAATCAGATTATGGCTTAGCTAGCTTAAACACAGCTCCTTTTCCTGTGACTTAGCATTGCTACCACAAAATACTGATCTAAATAGGCCAGGTTTGAATGCTCTGATGCTTTTACTGGGATGTATTAGATTTTATTAAAAAAAAAAAAAAAAAAAAAAGGTGAGACCACTGAACTCACCCTGTGAATTGAAACAGTTTAACTTTTAAAATGAGCTTAAAGCTGAATTTCTTCTGTGAAAAGATTTAAAAGAAATAAGTTGTTTCCTTTTCTATGGAGACTGACTCCAGAGAACCCGGCCTGAAAAGGAAGGCCAGGAATGTCTGGTTGGAGCTATAAAAGATCTTGTGGTGTTGAGCAACAGAGAATAGGTATCAAAGAAATGTGAATTGCTAGAAATGGTTCAAGAATTTTTTTGAGTCAAGGTCTGACTCTGTAATTCAGGCCAGCCTTGAGCTCACTATGTAGCCCAGGCTGCCCGAACTCACAACGATCCTCCTGCCTTAGCTTCCCAAAGGAATTTTTTTTAACATAAGGTAAATTAAGATCTATTATTAGTAGGACTCTGCCTGGTAGATAATACATGTTAAATTTATGACAGATACAAGGTAAGATATCCTGAGAAAACTGTTTCACCATTCAAGTTATATGATTAAAATATTGAAAGAATTAGAAGATGTGGTTAACTCCCAAAGTTGCTACACCCTTTCCATATTGGTTAGAATCAACAGCAGTTTTGAGTTCCTGTGAACTCAGAGTAAGTTTATATTTTCTCACCTGAATGCTTTAAAAGAAATGTACACAAAAACCATTAGAGACAAGATACAATATTAAAGCTGGCTATGAATTAAATCTCAGACTTAATTTGAAGAGAATCCCTCTCATGAAAGGCATTCAGTCTTCATAACAACTGCTGAATGCAGCTTTCAGTGACCTCTACAACTCAAGAACACAGTAGGATTGATCAACTACATTCAGTTCTTGTTTTATTACTTCTTATATCTTTTTTTAGGTTTTTGTTTTGGACAAAAGGTACACATCCAGAGATGATTAAATACTACAGTGTATTATTACTTAATTTCCCCTTCTCTCTTCTAATAGTAATTAGAAAATTAGATTACAGGTTGGACTTTATTCTGTAAACAAGAGAGAGCTATTAAATTTACACAGTTACACTGGCTGCAGCCCATCCATTCCCTTATCTCTTGCCCCCAGGAAAAGAAAGTGTAAGAGCTGTACTAATTAAGTTGGAAAAGAGTTTTTGATCAATTTTTAAACTCCCTGTACACTAGAATATGATAGACAAAAGTTCTCTGATGTTTAAGTGATTTCTAACAATACAAATTTAAAATACACATCAGGAGACAGGGACATAGGTCTGTGGTAAAGTTCATGCTTAGCATGCTGGAGGCCTTGGGCTTGGCTCTTGGCACAGGTGAAATGAAATGAAATTTGAAATAGGGCCTGGGATTTAGCTCAGTGGCACTGTGCCTGCCTCGCAGGCAAAAGTCCTGAGTTCAATCCCTGGTGGCAAATAAAATAAGATAAAATAGTGTAAATAAATCAGTAAGTTTATTTTATTTATTTATTTATTTATTTATTTTGAGACAGGCTTTCCCTATGGTATGTAGTTCTCGGGCTGGCCTTGAACCCATTATTTAGCCCAGGCTAGCTTCCAACTGGCAGGAATCCTCCTGCCTCAGTTCCCAGAGTGCTACCATTATAAGAGTAAGTACATTATAAACAGCCAGAGCAACTGGCATTTTGGCCATTCAACTGTCACTGGCACCTCTTACATTAATTACTTATTCCTAGATGATCAAATGTAATTTTGGAAATCCATGAAATGGTCAGAATAGAGCACTATAACTGTAGCAGTAGAAGCCTAGTGGAATCCTAACAATATTTTAAGGTCCTTGAAATGGACCTTTGTAGATATTCGCATAATCAAACCATTTATATAACTATCTTATTAACCATGTGTTGTCACACCCACCTGCCCTTGCTTATGCTGCATGCTCTACCTTGAAAACACCTCTGCAGACAGATTTCAGTGTCCAACCTAAAAGGCACCTTGTGTCTTAGGTAGAGTTAACTGCTCCTTCATTTATATTCCACAGTACTTCACCATATGCTATGGTCCAGATGTGTCTCCCCAAATTCATGTGTTGGAAACTTAATCAAGAATGCAGTAGTGTATGGAAGTGAGGCTTTTTGGGAGGTGTTTAGGTCCTGAGGGCTCTGCCCTATGGAATGATTAATGCTATGATAAAAGGGCTTGATGATGGGAGCTTGGCCCTTTTTGCCCTTCCACCTTCTGCCATGTGAGGACACAGAATTCAAGGCACCATCTTGGAAGCATAAAGCAGACTCTACCAGATGTCAGAGTCTCAATCTTAGATGCCTAGGTTCTAGAACTGTGAGACATAAAATTGTATTCTTTTTAAATTACTGAGTCTGTGATAGTAGCACAAAATGGACTAAGATACCATAATTCCTAAATAACATTTTCTGCAAAGTAGTAAATTTACTGTTTTATTTCTGTCCCAAGATTTTGTGTTTAATAAGGAAACAGGAGGCAAAGCATCATGGAACATGCCTGTAATCCCAGCACTCTGGGAGCTGAAACAGGAAAATCCTAAATTCCAGCCCAGTCAATTCAGTAAATCCTTGTATTAAAAAAAAGAAGTGTGCATGGTGGGGAGGGAGGATAGGTTGGTGATGTAATGAAGTGCAAAAGCCACTGATTCAAGCCTCAGTAATGCAAGAAAGAAAGAAAGAAGAGAGAGAGAGAGAGAGAGAGAGAGAAAGAAAAGGGAAAGGAAAAGGGAAAGGGTGGGTCCAGACATAGGAAGAACAAATACAGATGGTCCTTGACTTACAGTGGCTGAACACTTACTTTTCAGTTATGGATGCAAGGGTTACATTTCAGGTGCTCAACTAATTTAATGAAAAACCCCTCCCTTTTATCTTTGTCCATATCTAAAAATAAAGATGATCTCTAAGGTCAAATAGGGAAATAATGTGAAAATATACTATTAACCAGACCCCAGAAAATATTATTTCTCAGAAAAATAGGGAATAAAGCACATGGACTTTTGAGTCCCAGACTCCCAACTTCATAGTCTGTCCCTTCCACCTTCTGTTATGTGAGGACATAGTTTAGCTCAGGGATCTTCCCAGTCTACAAGATTCATATGCTTACTAGCTGTGCAGTTCTGCAACCACATAGTCAGAATTAACTTACACATCTGCGTATAATCATCATGAAATAAAAATGTTAGTATTATTGCAATAATTAAAGATTAATATTAATGTTCTTGGGCCAGGGACTTAGCTCAGTGGTTTTGCTGCCTACTGTGCAAGGGCATGGACCTGAGTTTGATCCCCAGTACCAGAAAAAAAAATAATAATATTAACGTTCTTTTCACAGTACATAAAAAGAACCTATTATAGGTTTTTTGTTGTTGTTTTGTTTTTTTGAGACAGGGTCTGGATATGTAGCTCAGGCTGGCCTTGAGCTCACTATGTAGTCCACGCTGGTCTCAAACTTGTTACAATCCTCCAGCCTCAGCCTCCTGAGTGCTGGAATTACAGGCATACACCTCCATGCCCTGCTCACAGTTTTAATACTCAACAAATCACTTCCTTGCTAAAATCCCTACAACTGCTATCCAACACAATCAGAAGGATCTAAACTTTACATAGAATCTACAAGGCTCTACAGGACCTGACTTCTCCCTACCACTTTGACCTTGTTCCCTAAATTCTTCCTTGCTGGATGAGTTCTTGCCAGAGGTCTTCCCTCTGCTTGTGCAGCTCTCTGCATTGCCTCAGCATTCAGATGATGGCTCAAAGCCTCACAAATCTTCTTGACCAATGTCCTTAACCTATCTCTACTCCTATTCTCTATCCTCTTCCATTGTTTTATATTTTCTTTCATTTACTGAGATTCTTAATTATCAACTTCTTTCCCATTTGCACATATACTCCCTGAAGGACTAGACTTCTACCTTTTTGTACCTGAATCTCCAGGACCCAGCACCAGAGCGAGGCAAATAAGGTCAACGCCCTTATGTGCAAAACTTCAGGGGCCGACAAAAAATTTCAGTAACCAAAGTTGATACCATTGTAATGCAACATTTCAAACAATGAAAGTGGAAAAAAAACATCATGAGCTCATTATAAAAATGTTTCGTTAGACGGATCCATCCAGCGCTTGTATGACTCATCCTCAACTTGCCTCTGCCTCACACTGAAAGTCACCAACTGCACGAAACACTAACTGAAAACAAAGTACTGATTCATTATTCTAGATGCTGCAGAGAAGCAAGAGCACAAGGCGGAATTTGGGTTTTTTTGAAGCAGACATCCCATGGCTCCACTGTGCTGCAGCCAACAATGCCATGTCACACCTTGGGAGCATGGGCAAGTTGTCAAAAGTTTAGCATCAGTAATAAATACGGTACAATTTGTCATTATCTGCTCCAGCCAGGACTAGAAAACTATTCACCTGGCCAGGGACCTCCAGCCCAATAAAGTGGGGATTTTGCTTTATTTTACGCTTGGCTCATGAAAGAAACAAAAACCCAAAAGAGCGTAAATACAAATTTTAAAAACTTAATGCTCATTAAAATCATTAGTAGCTGAAGAACGACAGCTGAAAACACGAATAAATACTAATACAGTATGATTAACTGCTGAAAGAAAGGAAGAAAGGAAGAAAGAAAAACAGATTCAGGTCCACCCAAAGGTCCAAAAAAGGGCGGCAGCAAATATCCCGCCGCGGCTGTGCTGCTCGTCTCGCCGCGCTATGAGGAACGCGCACCTACGCGCGCTACCTGTTAACACTCCCTCCCAGCCAGCCTCAAGGAAACGCGGGAGACTCCAGAGCGCAAGCGCCAACCCGCCAAGTCTTTGGTTTCCCCGCCCAGCAAGGCGCCTGCGCGGAGGCCCGGGCAGGGGGAGGGCCGAGTTTAGGAGGAAACGAGAAGCGCGCCGAAATCCTAGAGAGGCGGGCTACCGCGGGCTACCTAGGGCTGGGGGCTGGGGGCTGGGTCTGTCTTCCGGAAAGCCCGCATTCTCGGACGACCAGAGTTGCCGCTCACCGAACTCCCAGTTGTGAGAGTATCGAAGAAATTCGAGCATCATCTGTACCCATCAGAGAACTTCAGACCCAAGCCGGAGCTGCCTTCGGGATGAAATTAGGACTTGCAGGAGGCCAGTTCTCAAGAGGGCGGAGGGGAACGCGGCCGGCACACGCATGCGCGATAGGCCCTCTCCACGTGCGGCTGAGCCGCTGGCTTGGGGCCCTAGGAGGCCCCACCCCTTGCCTGAGCATCTTTCCGGACGGACTAAGTAGTGAGATGGTAGGGGGTTGGGCTTTGCAGCTAAGGCCCCGCCTCGCTGCTTCCAATTGGTCATGGGTAAACGAGTCCCTGCCTATCGCTTTCTTATTGGCGCAAGCCTGCGAGGCACGCGTCTCATTGGGCCGTGCCGATTTGGGCACCAAATTCAAAGATTTAAAAGTACCAGCTGGCGCCTTTTAAGAGCTACAGCTCTGTGGAGCGGCTGGCCAGCTGTGATTTCGCACTACTCGTTTACCTGAGACGGGACGCATGTTCTCTGGCATGAGCCGGCGCCCTTGCAGCTGTATCGCACGGTCACCCTCCTGCAGCTTCAGCCCAGTGACAACCGCCGGGCGCCCTCGCCCCTCGGACGGTGAGTGAAGGGAGCGGGCGCGGGCGAGTGCGCGCTCCGGGAGGCTGCTCGGGAAGGGCGCGCCCTGGCCCCCGACCCAACAGCCCGGAGCTCGGGCGCCTAGCCGCGCGCTCAGCCTTCTCTGGAGGGTGGCGGCGGTGGTCCTGGCGTTCGGGGAGGGGCAGCCAGATGTGCCGGGATGAGATGGTGGGATGGCGGGCGGTGGGGTTCTGCCGGCCACGAGGAACCGGGCTGCGACCGTGGGGAGGTACGGGGCGCGGCAGGCTGGGCGCGCGTTTTCTGCCTGGGAAGATCTACCTGTCCCCACTCCGCTGAATGGGCGCCAAATCCCCCTCCCTTCCACCCGGGCCGCGAGCCTGCAGTCCCCGGGCTCCGACCAGGTGCCTCACACCCTTTTCCACATCTGTCAGGACCCTGGCTTCCAAGGTGGCTTTCTCCAGCCTTCCGCCTCCGGAGTCTTGGCGGGCGCGGGAGATCGAGGTTATCTCCCGCCTCTGCCTGTCCCGCGCCCTGCGGGGACGTCCCACCCCCACTGACCTCTCAGGATTTCAGGGTCTCGCTCCTTCCGACTCCCGCCAAATGGAGCGATCCCCTCCCCATCTCAGTTGGAACGGACCAACAAAAACGTCAATTTTCCCCTTTTTCCCCTTTGCTTAATAAACTATCTCTAAGCCTTGAAAGGGGGAGGTGTAGTTTTTTTAAAGCACTTTTTAATACAAAATTGCGAATCGTCTATAGTTTTTAGCCGATTTTTGTGAGAATTGAATTGGCTTTTACTTACCCTATATACTCCATTCCATAACTTGGGTTATTTCACAATTCAGACGCTTATTTTCATCTTTTTTGTTGCTATCTTTAAATAAAATCACAATGCACTCATTTTACCTCACATGACTAGAAATGAAAATAGCAATTCGATTTTGTATTGTAACAGTTTGATAATGCCTCTTTCATTAGAAAAGCAATCAAGTCTTGAAAGAAAGAACTACTTCATTTTAACAGGCTAAGTATATCTGTAGGTCCTCAATCATAAATCTCCCTTTGAAATTCTGAAGCTTGATTTTTATAAATTCCAGTTGTTTTTTACTACTTTTTCTCCTCAAAGTATTTGCTGCTTACAGCTTTTTTCCTAATTATAGATTAGAAGAAATGAAATTTAAAAATTACTACACCTACATATTTTTTTAAAGAAGGCTTTTCTAAAATTTTCATGAAGATTATGGCTGGTTTGTATGGGCATGAGCTTTGGACCTCTTAAATTCTTAAAGGAATGTCCATGCCTGACCTTGGGCACATGGTGGTTATCTGTAAGTATTGAACACTGGAATTTAATTATATAATTAACATACTGGACAAGCTATATAGATTTTTTACCACTGTAATCTTAATCATATTAATATGAAATGTCAGTTCTATACTGGAAAGTTAAATGGAATTCAGACTTAATAAAGTTTACTATTAAACTATTTTTTTATTGGCTGTGACTTGGTAGTGAGAGTTTTTTAAAATGCAATATTTGACTCTCAATAGTGTCTCCATTTTAGGGGAAACAGGGAATAATAGGACACATAACTGTTCCAAGTTACCAAAGCTACTCAAAAGGCTGAGCAGGGACTTTAATGTGGAACTTGGATCTGATTCCTAAATGCATGCTTTTGTGTACAATGGATTTTACTACTTTTATATGTTCAAGATTTTCATTGTAAGGAATATGAAAGAGTTTGACTTATTGTGAATAACGTGATAAAATAGATTCTGTTGATTAGATCTTTGTGATAAGGACTCTAAAAACTAACCATTCATTTATTTCCTTTATCTTTCCCGCATTTTATGGGTGGGGAACTGAGACTTTAAGAATTAATTGTGTCAGTTTTCCCAAATTCTGGAAATGGTACTTTTTAGTGAAGATAATCAAGCAAGAAACCCCAGTATATTCTTTTACTCCACTTTCCTTAGTCATCATCCATCCACACCCAGTACATTAACAACTAATTTTTACTCTCCTAAATAATAGGACCAGCCCCAACCCCAGCCCTGTACTAGGGATCGAACCCTCTTTTATCTACCCATTTTATTTCCAGTGCAATTATCATCCTAACTCCTGGTCCCCACCTCTCTTGACTTCTGTGAAACACTTGCTTGCCTACTATTGTTACTTTCCGCAACTTGTTCTCCACAGCTGCCAATGATCTTTTCAAAATATAACCAATCTCTCTCCACTACTTAGAACAACGCAAAGGTCAAGATAGCTTACACTTACTGTAGACCACTCTTAACTCTCAAATTATTTTTGAATCATTCTCCTAACTCACTAAGTTGCAGCCCTACATGCCTTACTCCTTCAATATTTTATATTTCTTGCTCCTTGCTTCTTGCTTCCTGTGTTTCCCTTGAACACTTCCCGACAGATATCACAGAGCTTTCAGATCTCAGAATGTCTCTTTGTCTAAATCATCCTTAAAGCCAAGCTTGGTGGAGCACAACCTTAATTACAAGCACCTTGGGAGGCTGAGGCAGGAGTTCAGCCTGGCTAATTTAATGACTAGTGAGATCCTATTTCAGAATTTAAAAATACAAGAATGGCTGGAGATGTAGCACAGTGTGAAGGCCCTGGATTCAATCCCCAGTACTGCAAAAAAAGAAAAAAAAAGATAATTATCTTTCTCCCTCTTGCCCTGTCATTAAGCAGGTATTGAGTAAATGGAAATGGCAAAGTTCAACATGTTTGTTTGTGACAGGGTCTTGGTAGTTCAGGCTGGCCTTGAACTAGCAGCAATCCTCCTGTTTTAGACTTGGAGTGTTGGGAGTGCTGAAATTACAGGCATGCTCTACCACGCCCAGCTCAAGCAAAACTAGACTCTTTACCATCATTTGTTTAATTTATGTCATATTTTCTCCCTTTCAGGGTAATACCAGATCAATTACATGAACACATACATTTCTTAAATTTTTTAGGAACACAGGACTTCATCAGTGAGAAGTACTTGACTAGTTAGAGATGAAGAGTTAATTTACTTCAGCGTTCTTTCCTATAAATGGTAGTGTTTAATTCAGCTTATTTTATAATATTGTGATAAAACATTCACAGCAGTAATCTCAGATTTTAAAATTGAATCTACAACCAACATCCCGATTTTGGTTTCTATTAATTTTCTCCAATAAAAAGTGTTCCTTGTACAAGGAACACTCAACAAAACGATGCAGGTATCATTTGTAAGTATATTAAGTGGGTACCCAAGCCAACTGAAAGAGCTCACAACAGCGAAAACTGGAACACTTTTATCAACAACTTTATTATTGGATTATGACCTGAAATCCATGAGTCTGTACTGATATATATGATAAATAAATGGAATAGAACAGATAGCAAACACTTCCATGCAGAAAAATGATTTATATATTTACTCCCCTCAAAGAGGTGGAACAAAATTCATCACTCCCTTGAAATGTGAGCTATGTATAGAGACTTCCTTCAAGAGTATGGAAAGGGAAAGGAACACAAAGAAGTGACTTTACAGTGGGGAAACCTGACCAACACTTCCTCAGCCAGGCGATCAAGGTAAACACTGTAAAAGATAAGTTATAGTGATACTGTTTACCCTTATTAGGGTATGGTGACAATGGCACTTGAGCTCTGTTTTAAAAACACAACCTCAGACAAACCATGAGGAAAAATATGCAAATCCCAACCAAGGATCCTTCTGCAAGGGAAGTCAGGCCAGTTTTTTTCTTGTTGTTGTTTTTCTTTTGGTACTGGGAGGGATCAAGGATCAAACCGAGGGCCTCTCACATGCCAGGCAGGTGCCCTACCACTGAGCTGTGACCCCCCTCCCCAAGGAAAGTCAGAAGTTGACATAACCAAGAAGATCCTATGGAGACTTAAGTTATCTTAGTTGGGATCCTGGAGCAACGAAAAAGTAGAAACTAAGGAAAATAAGGATTTTAATAATAGATCAGTACTGGTTCACAGATTGTAACATGCACCATAGAAATCCAAGTGTTGAGTGCTGGGTATATAGCATCTGCTATTCATGTGAAACACAGAGGGTGGGATTATAAATCCCTGGATTCAGTTTCTAGTACCACAAAAGAAAAAGCAGAAAGATTTTGTTAAAGTTCCATAAGTGCTTATTTAATGAGTGAAAGTAAGAGATTTTAATGCTGGTATTAACTAAAATACTGGGAAACACTTTTGTGTAAGTCCTCATTGTGTCAGGCACTGTGCCATTAGCTTGAGATTCTGAAGTAAGAAATAGTAGTTATGTCTGAAAGATAAAAATGTTTTCTTTGTACCATAAAGAAAAATATTAAAAAACTCTTCCCTCATAAATTGTGGCTTTGTTTTTATTTGAGCAAATCTATTTCCAAAGCACCTCATTCCCAGGTGAGATAGTGGAAAGAGCACTGAATTTAGAGTCAAAAAGAACATTCCGGCTGTCTGGACTACTTATTAAATCTTGTGCAGGGTTCTCAGCTGAGCTTCCCTGACCTCCATTGTAAAGATAATAGAACTCCCCATTCTACCTCAGAGGCTG